GACCTTGTTAGTTTCAACTTTATACTCTGACACAATTAATTTATTATTTTCTTATACTGGATACAATTTTTACTTATGGACATGAGTGTATGTATCAATGTTTTCGTTTGTTCATTATGAATCACTCGTTCATTAATGCCCTCAGCGAAAACCGCATGAAACTACCCTCTGTCAAACTATAATGTTCACAATCGGTCTGCCACTCATAACAATTACAAAATTCCATTTCTGACTAGCTTCACACATGCGATATCATAACGGACGATTAAAAAGTGTTTCAAGATTAAAAAGTTCAAAAGTGTTTGGGGGGTAAAAGTTTGTGAAGGCCGAAGTGTAAGTGGCAGATTGCGAAAAGCAGTGGAATTTATTCATGGGTGGAAGTCAGCCGGGTTAGAGTCCTTTTTCGCGAATTAGCCGGGTGTCGAAGCTCTAACACGCTTAATCTGTATCCAACTATGGCGATACACGTTCCGGGATATTTCCATGCCATTATGCAAAGAGGCCGCGGCGGGTAACATTACTTGGTAGAACCGCCACCAGCCATCGGTATACACGGTGGCGGTAAAGCGTCGCGGTCCCGTACCTACTCCATCGATTTATTATAATTTAGATTGTCTTCTAAGAAGCCGACTGTACGTGCACGTACGTATACAAGGGACGCGCCTTAATGCGCTGCCGTTCGTTAATTATTCCTCCGGCATCCCGTAAATATGCATGAATTATATATCGCCGCGGCACGAACACACGGGGATACTAGGGGGTCGAATGATTAATACATGCCACTCTTTTCTATACCTTTTTTTCTTTACCTTCTCGCGTTCGTTACCGTTCGCCTTCTTCACAACTTCTTCGATTTTCAATTTCGTATAAATACATCTTCTCTCGAATTTGGAGTCTGTGCATTATGCAGGTGATACAATTTTTACGAGTGTATTTAAGGCAACTCGTCACCGTTGAAATAGCCGTATCTAATGAGGCCAAATAAAATTGATCGAGGTATTAAACATTGATGCCTTTGATCCTGCAGTCTGGCTATTATTAATTCGCCATTATTCACTGGTGAAGAAAGTTAAGCTGATTAAGAAAGTTAAGCTCCATTAATTTGAATCACAGAGATATATGAAACTAATATTCCTTATGTTTCAATATCAGTTTTATCTCTCTGTCAAAATGTTTGGTTTTCTACATACATGAAGTTGTGAGCCACTTGTGTAAGGACCAAATTGCTGCAGTTTGTCGAGTTTTTCTGGAAAAGGTCCGGCAAAATAGAGGCAATGAGAAGCGGTATTTTACAAGAGAATCGCTCACACACGCGCAAGCATTATAAATTCGATTCGAGAAAGCCATGGCTTTGTTATAAGTCCTGGTACGGGGCAAGTGTTTCGAACGACGCTTCGCCAGCAATTTTTCTATTCATCGATGATTCGTCGCGCGGTTTCATTGTTCCTCCTTTTTTTTCCATCGACGTCATATGTACGTGTGTCTGTGTGTATGTCTACCGCCATTATTTCGTAGCGAAGCATTTTAACGTCGGCCAGTTGGACCGTGAATGATTATTAATCAATTTTCAGCGTTAAACGTGCCGCCGCAATAAAAAGCGTGGTACGTTAACGAACCACGCGCGTATAATTGAGCATTTTGGCGAGAATGATTGCGAGCCTGTGCTAAAACCTTTGCGTGCCCGTTCGATTGATTTTGGCCAGCAAGGAAAAAAAATATGGATGAGAAAGAGAGAGAACGAAGGGGAGGACCACTTGAACAGGCTGAATTTTTTTTTTAATGGCTAGAGAGCCACGTCACGGGCGACGCTTCGAATAAACGACGTGATCGTACAGAGTCGCTTAGAATGCCGGATTAGCGTTGCGAAGAGAGGCTTTGTGCACCTCGAAATTGAATAAAATCGTGCAAAAATGTTAATCAAAGCTTGTTAGCTCGATAACTTTTGGCCTGATGAACTTTTTAGAGCCATTTCGAAAAAGAACGCGCTTCTTGTCGGATAATAGTGTTTTGGAATCGATTATGCTTCACTAGTTATAGCATTTATGGGTTTCGACATTTTTGGGTTTTTAGATTTTTAGATTTCTAAATTTTCAAATTTTTGGATTTTTGGATTCCTGGGGTTCTAGATTTTTAGATTTGGGGATTGATGCAATGGTGGATTGGTGGATTGGTGGATTGGTGGATTGGTGGATTGGTGGATTGGTGGATTGGTGGATTGGTGGATTGGTGGATTGGTGGATTGGTGGATTGGTGGATTGGTGGATTGGTGGATTGGTGGATTGGTGGATTGGTGGATTGGTGGATTGGTGGATTGGTGGATTGGTGGATTGGTGGATTGGTGGATTGGTGGATTGGTGGATTGGTGGATTGGTGGATTGGTGGATTGGTGGATTGGTGGATTGGTGGATTGGTGGATTGGTGGATTGGTGGATTGGTGGATTGGTGGATTGGTGGATTGGTGGATTGGTGGATTGGTGGATTGGTGGATTGGTGGATTGGTGGATTGGTGGATTGGTGGATTGGTGGATTGGTGGATTGGTGGATTGGTGGATTGGTGGATTGGTGGATTGGTGGATTGGTGGATTGGTGGATTGGTGGATTGGTGGATTGGTGGATTGGTGGATTGGTGGATTGGTGGATTGGTGGATTGGTGGATTGGTGGATTGGTGGATTGGTGGATTGGTGGATTGGTGGATTGGTGGATTGGTGGATTGGTGGATTGGTGGATTGGTGGATTGGTGGATTGGTGGATTGGTGGATTGGTGGATTGGTGGATTGGTGGATTGGTGGATTGGTGGATTGGTGGATTGGTGGATTGGTGGATTGGTGGATTGGTGGATTGGTGGATTGGTGGATTGGTGGATTGGTGGATTGGTGGATTGGTGGATTGGTGGATTGGTGGATTGGTGGATTGGTGGATTGGTGGATTGGTGGATTGGTGGATTGGTGGATTGGTGGATTGGTGGATTGGTGGATTGGTGGATTGGTGGATTGGTGGATTGGTGGATTGGTGGATTGGTGGATTGGTGGATTGGTGGATTGGTGGATTGGTGGATTGGTGGATTGGTGGATTGGTGGATTGGTGGATTGGTGGATTGGTGGATTGGTGGATTGATGAATTAGTGGATTCGTGGATTTCTAGATTTGTGGATTGATGGATTTCTAGATTTGTGGATTGGTAGATTTGTGGATTTGTAGATTTCTAGATTTCGATACTTTCAAATTTCCAAATCACCAAATTTCTTAACCTTCAAGTTTCCAAATCTCCAAATTTTCAAATCAGCCAATTTCTAAATCACCCAGTTCCCAAGTCATCAAATCCCCAAATCCTCAAATTCCAAACCTTGGAAATTTTTGAATCTGCCTACATCCCTCACACACCACTGTTGCATCCCTTACATCTCTCACACACCACACTGCCCACCCGTAAAATTTAACCTAACCTACCCATCATTGGATTTGATGTCCCCAATCAAAAGTTACATTCAAAAATCTTCGAAATGGACATTTGTCAGCAATTAACAAGTAAAATCATACAATTTTTTCGAACGGAGTTTGAGGAAAGCAGCAGGGAGAATATTAATTACCGTGGAGGGGATGGATCCAAGCGATGGTGGAAAAGTCGGGATTCTGTGCTGTCGGCGACAAAAATGGCGATACTTCATTTCGTTTATTACGCCGTGTTTGAAACCCCTCGCATTTCGGTCGTATTGATAACAATTATAAAATATTCGGCGCTACGCACCGAACAAAGTGCTTTCGACTATATACGTCATCACAAATTCGAAGCACGACTTTCAGAGCTTTTTCAGTGACTTTTCACCGGGAACAAGCGATTGTAGCGAGATTCTACTATTTCTATAAACAAGTCTTCGTTGATGTTAATTCACTTAAGTCAATTTTTCAGTCACATATTCCTTGCATAAATAATTCTTTTCTTAGATAAAATAAACTGATAACTGATTTATTTAATGTAAGGAATTTTTTAATAAATTTTTTGTAAGTATTTTTTAATAAATATTTGCATCACAGTACTTGTACTTTTCAGATATTATTTAATATTATAATGTTATTAAATATTATAATAATTATGATATTATTAAATGGTTAAATTCTTTTTCATTGTTAGCACTCTATACCCAACACTTATTTTTTTTAATTAACAAGAGCGAAAGTTGGTTCAATGAAACCTAGTGCGTTCAGGTTGCGAGTGGTTCATTTAACGAAGGTCAGATAACCTCTTTCCTCTACCAAAAGTTCCGACTTTCTGGCTGTTTAAGGACTGTCGAACCCAACCTACCCCAAGGGAATTCGATAAACGTCCCAACTTTCGATGGCACTCGACGAGCCTCAGTTGAACTTTATAAATTATCGATCCTCATTGTGACGATATATTTAATAGCTGCCGAGTGTCTGACCTAGTCTGGGCAATTTTCAAATTTGCAATGTTAATTGAAAATTATATAAGATACCTTCAAAGGTCATTAAAATTAAAAGATCCTCCGTACTTTTTACCGAAGTCGACGATCAACAATTAAATTTAATTTTGTTATTAATTAGTGTTCCGTAGAAGTCCAATAGGTTAAGAGTTACTTGAATCACGGGACAAAATTGAAGCTTTTACAGAAATTAGTTGATGGACAATTTAAACCATTTTATTTAAAAAAAATTATACTTACAAGTAGAGATTAAGTGAAGTTTCATCAGGTATAATATTTAAATATTTGATATCGAAGTACAAGATAAAAACAATTTCTGCAATTTTATGGGGTACTAAGTGACCCAAGTTTATGTTTCAAAAAATATTCTGCATGACGCCGAATGTTATCATAAAATCCTAGAATATGTGATACCATTGTTGTAATAGAATATGTGATACCAATTGGATATTATTTACATTTGTCGTTTAAATAGTCCTCTAAGCCCACGTTTTACCTAAAGAATGAAACAGAATTAAATTCGACCAACAATTCACGATTGCGATAAAATTTTTGTTGCAGGACAGCGACAGGAGTAGCGCCGGCACTCCGGAAGCGACGGCCACAAACGGAAATTCACTCCACGAGCATCAGATAATGATGGACGACATCAAGATTTCACGAAAAGGAGAATCCAGTCCGTCACCCGAGAATCTGCATCAAGCGAAACGGGCGGCTGAAGCACATCTCAACGGTACAAGTGAGTCCTAATTTAATTGTTCTAATTTCAAAATTAGGAAGCAACAATTCCAATAAAACCGTTCGCTTTCTCCTATCAGTGGCTGCTGGCATGGTGACCCTGCAAAATCTTCACAATCTGGCAAATCTGCACAAGCTCATCAACACACCCTTGAATCTCACAGTTAGCTCTTCTGGTAAGTGATCAAATGTGTAACTCGAAATTTGACACCTAATTTGAAGATGGTCATTTATTTTATTCGGACAAATTTTCCCTTCTTCGCGTTTGGATATTGTGGAGGATTAGAAATATAGAAATTTGGAAATACAGTGGTCTGAGATTGTAGGGATATACAGTTCTAGGATTATATCTATCGGGGGTGTATTTTGGGGTGTTAGAATCTGAGAATATAGGGATCTAGAAGTATAAGTCTATTTACATGAATCTACGAATATTAGGTTTCGGGATAATAGAGATCTAGGAATGTAGGTATTTGGGGTTTTAGAGATCTAAAAATCTAGGTATCGAGCTGTAGGAATTTGGACACATAGGGTTCTAGATACATGAAAATATTCGGGGGTGTAGAGATCCAGGAATATAGATATTCGAGATTATGCGAATCTAAACATATAGCTATCTTAGAATATAGAGATCCTGACATATATCAATCTACATGCATCTACATTTAGAGATGTAGAGGTCTAGGTGTAATTCCAGGCTAACAGTATCTGAGAGTTTAGTTATCTAAGGATATAGAAATTTAAACGCATAGAAATCTAGGATTGTATCTGAATATACAGTATCCATATTACATATATAATATGTATATCTAGAGATATAGAGGTCTAGCATAAAGACCTCCCAAAGTCCCACCACATTAAAAGTCCACATACCCTCCCAAAATCATCACAATGACATTTTGATGTTTAGGAGGTACTGTACCAACAGCTTCGAGTACGACAGTTTCACCTCATCTTTTGCCACCAAGTCCGGCGCCAATGGGGACATTACCTCAGCTATTATCTCAGCCACAATCGGCCGCGATGCCTCAATTCATTCTAACGTCCGGTCAATTGGTTCAAGGCATTCAAGGGGCTCAGCTTCTTATCCCCACGTCGCAAGGTAAGCCTTCTGTTTCTTACGCGTCCGTGTTCTCTTCAGCTTTCAAAACGATCCATTGATTGACACCCATTCAGCCTTCGTTCGTGTTCGAAACGAGGCCTGAGTCGACGTTGAACGTGTCACGTGAATTGATTATTATTCTTTGAACATTGCTGCGCTATGCTCGGTTCAATGATTTATTCGAATCGTAAACGTAGATTCATTATAGTTTCTAGTGATTACTGTTTCTGATTATTGTTTTAACGTTCACATGCATCTCAGATTTTATTGATTAACTTGTTCAAATCATTAGAGTTGTATTTCATTATCCTGTATAGATGTACATCAACTGTGTTTAGTTCAGTTGAAGAGAGAAGTTTTAGAGTTTAATAGCAAAATAGCAAAAAACCTTCAGAGTTTTATTACCACTTAGAATCAATTGGATACTACTTAAAAATATAAATAGAATCCCAGAGGCAGTTACAATGATCGAGAGACTTTCCACCCCCATTGTCGAAACATTAGACGAATCTTAATCAAGAAATTTAATTAAACGACACGTAGCCAGGTAGGAATCGAGCAAGAAATGTAGCAATAACCCTCATTCATTAAGTGGCGTCGAATTTCTGGGCGTAAATCATTCGTAGTCTCATCGTGAAATCTGCACGATGTGCCGGCGCATAATGTTGTGCAATCAAGATGTGCCGATATACATAATATAATATCAACTATCTCTGACCAGGCTCGGACTAAGGCTTGCCCGTCGTCCATACTTAGTGGTCCTAGACTAGCCAGGCAAGCAGAGGGCAAACTCTGCAACTAATTTCAATGTATAATTAACGTTTCACTACCCCCTTTCTAGACCCACGAATAACCCCTTTACTCCCCCCTCACGGTTCCTCGGTACTGTTCCCTCCTACCTTCTAACCCTGGTACACTCTGGCTGGACATCACAGCTCCGCGGATTCGGCCGCTATTATATCGATTGCGGTTCGCGCTAACTTCGTTTCTACCAAGTTGGGTTCCTATTCTGGCAATTGAGAGGAACGGATAGAAGGAGCAACGGAGACAGAGAGATGGCTCCGAGAGCGGGACGGGTTAGCGAGGAAGGAACACCAGGGGGTAAGGAGAACTTTGCCAGTCCGCCTAAGTGGATTGAAGTTCGTGGATATGGACCAGTCGTGGTACGATGACGAGTTACGTGGTGGCAAATAATGTTTGCACTGCTTTTCGACTCAATCGATGCCAAACGCTCGATTGATCTCTGATTGACGTTCAAAGAACTTCTCTTCCATTCTCCATATGTATATTCGAACATATTTTCATGGTTACAAACTCGGGATTTAGGAATTTAGGAATGTAACATATATGGACATGTGAGTGCAAAGCTGAATAGAGAGCTAGTCGAGGTTCTGGTTATGTAATGGTCTCGCTGTATAGATTTCTGGCTATAATCTAGCCTATCACTTCCTATGTGTGCAAGAATCATCTTCATAATTGTAGATCTCTCCCTACAACTCCACGTATATAATGACTTTATAAGTATTCAACAGTATAGAGATTTGAAAAGGTAAAGATGAGGATCTGGGTAAGCAGAGATCTGTATAGAAATTTGCTTTTATAAAGCTCTACATAGAGATCTGTTTATATAGGGTAGAGTCTAAATGCAGATATGAATATACAGTATTTGGATATGTAGTTCTGTAAACATCCAACGATATGATGTAGCAATATAATTTATGAACATCTCAATATACTTGTGTCTAATATAAAATCAATATATGTTTATGTCTAACATAAAATCAATCAACATGTATTATTTCATGTGTTTGATTAAATATTTCTCAAGATGAGGTTATTTTTGAAGGGATATTCTTTTTGTCAGTATATATAGCTAAGAAGGAAATAGCTGGTTAAATATATATGTGCTTACGGTTCGTAGTGAACTTTTGCACCAGTTCGTGGCAGGTCAAGAGATGAAAATTTTTGTAACCCTACGAAAGAGTGCCACGTCGAATCTAACGCGTACAATTTAGCAATGGGAGCAGGATTGAAAGCAATAGTGACTGAATATTTGATACGGTAGAGTAGGTCATGAGAATCATTGGCAGCATAAATAACGAGACGTGGAATATTTTAGAATCGCGTTTAAGAATATGCTGTTGGATTCGAGGATCAGGGTTATTCTTACAGCGAAATTGGGAAGGCTAGAAAAAGACTTGGGTCAGAAGGGAATCTTGTACCATAAATTACGAGTCGATCGATAGCTTTTATTTTAATGAACAATCGCATTACGTGTCGTGAAAACTGTTTTGTGAGAATGACAGTTTCAACGTTAATTAACACTCATCGAAGCTATTTCTGTCTCAAATGAAATTTTATAGAACTCTGATTTGTTTAAGGATGTTCCTTGAAAAATTTCATTACTTTACATAAGTGATGCAATTTATCGACGTAAAAGTTTCATCAATATTCTTAATACAGACTCGTTTCGTTAGAACAAACAATGGACACCAATTGGGTTGGAATAATCAATTTCCAATCGTTTGTATGTTAAAAAAATTTCACAAAGGAATTTTCTATTTGTTTTGGCACGAAAAACCTATAGGTTTTGAGTTGTACAACTTTTTTTATCATGGTATAAAAGAAACACGCGTCCTGTAAATTTATCAATTTATTTCAGAGTCAGCCATTTTGTATTAATAATATCAATCAAAAGTTTATGTACATCTTCGTCTTAAATTGACATACGTACTTTGTTACAATTTTATGTCATGAAATTTTAGACTTCATATGCGTTTAAATCCACTGCTGCTATAATTGCTTTTGTATTCGAAACATCGAAGAAAGCTTCCATTTGAAGCTTCAAATTAACATAACGTATTTACATAACGAAATCATCCTCCTGAAATTTCCTAAACCCCATCTCCAGTGCAGAATTTTTTTTGAGACCGTTAAATAGATCGATTTTGATCTGATTTCGGTATTAACGTATAAATCTTCGCGTCGCAGGAGTTAAAAGGTAGCAAAAACGAGATTCCGCGGGAAAAGGGCATCGTTCATTAGTCGGTCGCGACAGATAAAAAAGGAATCGGTTCCAGGATACGGAATATTATCGTCGAATATCGTTTAAACCGAACGTTAATCGGATTGTCAGTTGACCTCACCTCAGAACGGGAAACTTTTATGGCTGTTCGGAATACGGGATTTGCTTAGCTTAGCTATAGGAACCAACACGGGTACGTACTCATGATCAGTAATCATATTAAGCGCGTGTACAGGGTAATCAGATTAGTGGAGCTGGGAGTAATCCCGAAACTATTCTAAGTATGATTAGGCGTCCTTCTCGCAGCCTAGTCCAGTGCCAGTACCTGTACCCACTATTAAGATGACGATAATAGTTTGCCAACTACGCTGGCCTACGAGGTTACCTGCCCTATGGGTTGCCTAATAATCCCTCTATGAGACTCTGATAACTTTACTACCCTTCCTGGATCAACCACGTTCATAATGGAAATGAAGTATCTATTGATTCGAGACACGTTCGTACGAGACCTGACTGAGATGGTATTATCAACTAGCCCCGAATCTTGTTGCGTCCAGGAATAACCTTCTTTATTTGTTCTGCGCCAGGAATCGCCTCGCAAACTATCCTCACGATTCCCGTCAGCCATATCACGAATCAGATGGTCAACTTGGGGCTCAACAATGGCCAGGTTGTCTCCACCACCTTGGCGAACCTTCAGTCTATCGCTCAGCCACAGAACATGATGAACACACCGACCAGCAATGGCGATTTTACAGGTAAATTTCGTTCTAATCGATCACATTATTAGGTCGAACTTTCGTATACGTTCATTCACCAATGTCGGAGTTAGACATTTAGGTCATACAGTCACTTTATGAATTTAGAGAATATGCAAGGGTTTGAATATTTAGCGATTTCAAGATTTGAGGACGTAAAATATATTGAGAATATTGTACTTGAGTTTAAAAACTTGCAAGTTGGAACTTTAGAAATTTTACATTTTATCTCTTGTTCTATAATAATGTGACGCACTCGTGACGCACACTACACTTCGAATAAACTGGACTAGTATGACACTGAATTTTGGAATCAATTCAGATTATGATCTATGTAATCAAGGATCACTGAATGCATAATGCAGTTAACATTTTTCTTCAGTTAACTTAACGTTGTAAGAATAATTAGCTAACTGTGAATGACACAACTGACCAGAGTAGATTAAGGGGTTAGGAAACATGGTCCATTTTGAATCTGAGGATTTATTTTAATATGCACAGAACTTGGAAACTTGTAAACACATTCTAGTAATCTTAAACAGTGTAGAAAAATTTGAAGACTTAGGAACTGTAAGATTAACATAGAAATCGAGAAGATAAGTGAATTATTGAAATGAATGATATGTCTATCGAAATCGTTTCAGTTCCAACAAGTCCCAATTTAGCATCAGGTCTAGGACTGAATCCGGCAGCTTTGCGGCACCTTTTGAGCAACAGTTCGACCAGCCAGCAACTTTTGAACGCGATGCAACCTCAGCAACTGCTTCAAGCCGCGCAGGCTGCTCAGGCGCAGACCGCACAGGCGGATCAGGCTGCTCATGCTTCTCTGCGACCACTTCTGACGACGTCGCCGCAGCAACACGGCCATCGACACAGCTCTCACATGAATCACTACACGGTACGTAGACTGGTGATTACTCTGGAACGGAATAATTTGCGCCTTTTCTCGTTGCGATCGTGCTTACACGAGAGCACTTTGAAAAACACGAGGACCTGATTTCATGAAATAGTACCTCGTGTCTCGTGATAATTCGAGTAGTCGATATCGGCGGCTAAATCTCATTAACGACGTACTTGGATAATTTAATCAGTTTTATCCATTTGACTGCTCCTTCTGTTGTATGTTGTACATTCATGAATCGATGTTAGAAGTTACCATCTAAGTTTGCTAATTAAGGAACTGTCATTTCTACGATTAAACTCGTTTAACGATATTGCTTGGGATTGGAATAATTGTTATCGATTTTTAAATTGGACAAGTTGGAATACTTGTTCTGTAAGGGTTTCAAGAAGGAAATTGTAGAACTTCATTTTGGAAGAAGGTATAAGGACAGTTTTTATGATGGACTACTTATTAGCTTCCATATGGAGACTAATATTTATGTAACTACCATATGGAGACTAATAAGGTGTCTTCACATTTTCATGGAGATAAAAGCATAGATAAAATTGTACGAATATGGAATAAAGTTTAAGATGATCCACTTGTGGATCAGAGGTACCTTAACATCCTCCTTATGTAACTACCATATGGAGACTAATAAGGTGTCTTCACATTTTCATGGAGATAAAAGCATAGATAAAATTGTACGAATATGGAATAAAGTTTAAGATGATCCATTTGTGGATCAGAGGTACCTTAACATCCTCCTGTCATGCTTGACTCGTTTCAATCATCGTCCGTTTGGAAAGTGCTTTCTCCCGAGGAATTTTGATTTACCTCAGTTTCGTCAATAACTAACACTGCACCGTTTCCGATATCCTCTCGATGTCCGCGTCCCGGCATCACCCCCGTCGTCCCGTAACAATATAAACGACCCTGGCGGACGATATACGAGTTAACCACGGTCCCGTTGAAGGTGGAAGGGCTTAATCAGCGCAAGATCAACGGAACAAGCAGAATAATTCCCCGATAGCAAGCAATCTCGTTAAGAAAGTATTCCGCGGTGGCGGCGTTTCTTCCACTAATTAGACTCTAAAGTGTCCCGATCGGAAGAGAGCCACCGGTCTCATTATTAAGTGTATAATTGGCGTGGAAGAGAGTAGCATTGTCGTTGCTGGTTGAGCTACTAATCCGTTACTAACACCCGTGTCCGTAGCAGCCGACGGATAAGCATCACAGAGAGAGGCCAGAGCAATCGTCGCCTTTGAACGAGTCCGTGGTATCCGCTGCGTCGGCATTAAACAGACTGGCGTCCAGCAACGGCGAAATCACTATCACGACCACGCATGGATATAATTGCGTCGGTGTGAAAGCGTCGCCCAACAGCATGCACAGTTCCAAAGAAGAGGAAGACGATCTGATCGATTCACCCAGTAAGACTTTTTATCATTCCTCATTTTTAAGTCATCGATGTTCACGTATTTAGCCTCAGGTATTTCACTGTTTACGTCATTTATTTCACGGACTTGTCATAAGTACGTAGACTTGTCATAAGTACGTGAACATCTGCTGTTTAATGAGTTTGGGAATAAGTGGAACGCAGTGACGTTTGATGACCATTTGTGGTCAGCCGATGAAAGCAAAGTATGTGGACAAGTATTATATCAGACACATGAGATTAATGATCTTTAGGGACGTGTATATGAATGCAATTGTGGCGATAATTGAACGGTACTTTTTTTGGAGGCCTTGCAGATCGAGGCACTTAGTGGCTTTAGAAGAGGTTAGGAAGATTTAGCTTCATAGTAAAATTCATTGGTTTTAGGTATGATGGGAATGTAGAGATCTAATGATACATCTAGAAATGCACATTTTTATATCTACATTTGTCTTAAATTTTAAGCTTGATCAATCTCTAAAATTAAGAGTTGTATGAATCACAGATTAACTAGAAGATTTAGCGTCATAGTAAAATTAATTAATTGTAGGTATGATGGGAATATAGAGATCTAATGATACATCTAAAAATGTACATTTTTATATGTACATTTGTCTTAAGTTTTAAGTTTGATCAATCTCTAAAATTAAGAGTTATATGAAACCGATTTAGCTAGAATCTCGTATCTAATAATTACATGTATCGACGAGCAAGCCCTAATCTTATTAACCTCTAAGAATCTCTTGGACCATATTATAATAAATTCAAGCATAGTTGCCGGTTCGTTGCTTCGAATTACGTTTCCTTCCTTCGTCGATTCAACATTTAACGCGCGGTCAAACCTGATAAATAATAATGTCCGAGGCACCGGTGGCGGACCGTGTGGAGCTCTTAATAATCTTAATAGGATATCGTACAATGCTCGGCTCATTACGATGTATTAGATCGTGTTCCCCGTTGCCTTCTGGGAAGCCATAAAGATTCCAACGATGCGCGTAACCACCAGCCATGGCAGACAATAATTTTAATAATTCACAATCATTGCTTCGACTGGCACTTCGTCAATCCTCGCTCGATAGAATAATCGTCGCGTCCGCTCGCATCGAGCCTAACGATTCTCAATTGCCGGTGTCAGTTGCCACGTTGCTTGATAAATCTGCGTATTTGTTAAACTATCCTTGAACGACGATTCGTAAATTTCGAGAGACGTGCTTTCCGCTTTTTCTTCTTAACAATAGGGTGTAAATTTCAAGCAACGACTGGTTGTCTTGCGAAGCTTTATTATTATCCTGAAATTGCTGCTTCGTCCAGGGGAAAAATTACGAGTTCGTTAACGCTGGTATGCGAATCAAGATCAATTGTCCTTGCCGAAGAAACTGTTTATCTTCCCTTAAGGATAGTCATGGGAATTAGAAGCAGTGAATTCGTTGTCCTACGATGAGGAGAACGATCGATCTTGATACTGATTGACGGTGACGTAACTGGGGGAGTTGGGGATCTAGGGAGGGGGAGATCTCAGGTATTTTATGGCGGGGATTTTCTGAGGTTTATTTCAAATTTTTTACTGAGGACATTTTGATAGTTTGAAATTCGCAGGTTCATCAACTTTGTAATTTCTAAATTTGTGAATTCCCTTGTTTACAAGTTCCAAGATTCCCAGACTCTCAAGCACCCAAATTCTCAAATTTACAAATTCTAAAAATTCGTATCTCTGGTCTCCCAACTCCTACAACCTCAGATTCCCACATTCTCAAATTCTCATAATCCTAGATCCCTAAATTTCCAAGTCCTTGCATCCCTAAATCCTTACAACCGCAAATTCCTAAATTCTAAATTTCCACATCCCCAAATTCTAAAATTCTGAAGTCCACAAATCCCAAATCCTGAATTCTCAAATTACCAAATCCCCAAATTCTCAGACCCAAATCCTCAAATCCCCGTATCTCAAATTATCTTAAATCCTCCAACCCCAAAAAATTCTGTCACCCAGCTAAAAATTCGTAGTCATTCCACCGCAAGAAACGCGAAGTTGAAAATTGCAAACTTGATTTACTCTAATACTCAAACTAGTCCATTAACCGCTCGAGTACGTGGCACTCGGTAAGTTGAACGCACCACGTAGGTGTAATTTATACTTTATACTTAGTTTTCGTTTTCGCTCATGTTAACAGCGTCGCAAGGTATTCATTAAATTGCAAGTAATTTTGTACCGTACGAACCATAACCGGAGCATAATTAGAAATTTTTAAGCGTACATTTTTCTTCACGATGATGTCGGCCGTATCGGGCGCGTTCATCGAAATGAGCTACTTTGTTAACGCGCACCCGGGAAAGTCAGGTTACACGGTGTTTTTGTTCGAGAAGGATGGTTCGTTCGATTGATAATTAATGACCGTAGAAACAACGTGCCACTGAAGAAGGATTTGCCGTTTATTGCGCGATGCAGAAACCAGGAGAACTGGTCGAGATTGCGGAGTATGTGGGCACCTCTATTGCGTGCGTGTACATTCGGGGTGATAGATTTATGAGAGAAATCGGTATTGCTGAAGCTGCTTTAACGAAGCCGCCTAATGTCATTAGACAGATTCTCGCTGGAGCCGTGAAACGTTTCAACGAATTCAGTCTCGAAACAGTTACCGTTTCTCATTCAAATGTCTGTTTTCTTCGGATAACCTGTATATGTCACAAAATCAATAATTTCCTTGAAAGTTTCTATATATAAACTGGAAAAATATTAACGGTATTACTTGCAGCAGGTTTAGATATCACAACATTTAGATACCACTGAAAATGAAATATCTAGTTAAATATAGAATATTCAACTTGTATTTCTTCATTGAAACTTTTATGGTCAGCAATGTCTACTAATAGTCATTTTCGGTCACTCGACTCACCTTCCCAAAATTCGTAGTTTGAAAATATAAAATTGGTTTCTAAACTTACCGTCCTCCTCCTAAGATAGAATTAATAATAAAATCAGTAAAGCGAATTAAATTGTGTCCAGAAATGATAGTGTGTTCTCTAAGGCACCGAATGAAATTGCGAATGAAAACACGTTTCTAAATGTTAATTGCAGACCACCCAACCATCAACGACTCCGCGAACAACGTGAACGGTTTCGAACTGGAGGACATCAAAGAGTTCGCGAAGGAGTTCAAACAACGTAGATTATCCCTAGGTTTGACGCAAACCCAGGTGGGGCAATCGCTGAGCGCAACGGAGGGTCCAGCTTACAGCCAAAGTGCTATATGCAGGTGAGTGTCAGCGCTTTATCGTGTTTCTTTTCTCTCTTTCTCTGGTTAACTTCAAAACGGACGTCGCTGATGAGAACTGAAGCGATACAGGCTACCATTAACGACAATGTACCAAGTCACTGGAAACTGCCGGGAAAGTGATTGACAAAAGTCTATGCATTTCTGGACGATCGATAATGCAACAAAGAAGTAACACGTTTCTCGGGCCAAGGAAACTCCGCATACTTCTTTGCCATGATTTATGTCTGGGTTGAATCGCACCCGAATATCCCTGAATTCGCGAGCAGACGTTAGCAGTCTTCGAGTTGACAGAACGTCCTTGAATTTTCACGAATGTGAGAAATGTATAACGTGTATATCTGCCACTTTGGTTCCTTGAATGACACGCGAACACGAATCGTTGTCCGTAGGAATGATTGTTCGAACTGTTGTGAGAAATGCGAGCGAGAATGGAAGGAACCAACGTGGTAATGCCGTTGGCAAGTAGGAACACTGTTTCTAGATCCAAGAGTTCTTATCGTAACGATTAATTTAAGCATTGGTGATTGTTCCCCAGTGCCCTGGCTTACCGGCTGCTCGCTGCCTTGCAGAGTGCCCCTCAGCAGCACCCTATGTACGTTCAACCCTCATTCTACTTAATTTACCTAAAGATCTAAAACTTCTTTCAATCCTCTGGGAGGATAGCAGTTATACCCAAGCATGCGAGAGTCCGTGCATTCCGTTGATCCAAATATGTACTGAGCGATAGAATCTCGATTGACCATGTTTCCGAGCGTCGGCAATCGAAGTGTGATTAATTAACAAGAACCTGTAACGAGTTCTTGTATCTTCCTTTCTCTATCTTCGATCGCATCTTCTTTGTTGTCCAAACTTTCTCTGTCGATCATCACGATCAAGTTGTTCGCTTCAAGTTGATCGCTGTAGCCATTACAGCGTTGCGATTATGGGACGACATATTTGGGTATAGCTGCGAAGCATTCTTAACTAATTTCTAACTCCGTTTCTGGCAAAAAAAGAGATGCGAAAGGAGCACTTGTAAAAGTTCAAGAATTTTCTTTGAGCCAGGGCATTGGCAAACTTGGGCATGATGTCGCCAACGCGCGAATCGAGGAGATAATGTTCGAAGAATAATAAAGTCGCGTGTTTGACGTCCGTCGAGAGCGTTGCTTTTGATGATCGATCTTGTTTGTCTTTCGTCGATAGCTTTCGCGAACCAACGCGTCTCGCGTCCATTAATCAATTATTGATACGCGTTGGCAACATCATACACGGCATCACCAAAACCTCTAAGCATGCACGCATTGTCAATGTCCTGTTTTTTGAGTCAATGCATGCCTCTTAGTGCTCCTTTAATCGAACGAAGACGAAAAGACGAGTTTCGAATGGACCTCTTCTTCTGCTATTTTCACCGAAGAGCTACAGTAATGTTTCCCACATTGTCCTTACTGGCGGTATCCTTACATTGCCTCTACCAATACGTCTACGCTTACGTTTTCATTATTGCTACGCCTATGTTTTCTACATCGACGCTGGATGTAATAAGGATCTTTTAGCGCGATTTGACAATTCAGAATACAATAACTTTTATGATTTTAAACACTTTCTGAGGATTTTCCGATTAAAATGACACCAAACATGACATCGTTTGACGTTCAGTTATTTAGTATTTATTGAATAAATCATTTTATATAAATAGTTAAACGCAGTTTTCATTGTTCGTAAAACATATATAGCTTCCCACATTGTCCGTAAAATACCGAATGTAGTTTTCCATACATTGTCCCTAAAACGTAGCCTTGTACTCTCACTTTGTCCGTAAAATGCTGTCTTGTATCCTCACATTGTCCGTAAAAGTCTACCCTCGCATTGTCAGTAAAACTCTAGTATCCTGATGTTTGTAGAACGTAGTTTCGTACCCTTACGTCCGTAGAATGTAGTCGTACTCCCACATTGTCCCTGAAATGTAGACCGTATTTCTACATTGTCCGTAAGCCGTTCACATCGTCCGTATTTATGCATTGAACACACAATGTGTGTTTTTCATACAAGATTCTATGTAAGTAATTTAAAAGTTAATGACATAAAATGAGTTAGAGACTCAGTAAGTAAATATTGTTCAAATTATGTCATGTTTGGTTTCATTTTCATCGGAATAATCTTGCTAATAAACTGGATTTTCGTTTGGAAAATAGTTTGTGTTTAATACAAAATTCGATACAAGTATTAAAATCCCTCTACGTTCTTGTTCTTTATTCTGTCCCTTTTTTTGTTTGGCAAAGCGAGGCTCAAGTTTCGATTCTGCTACTCCTGAATTGTCCCATTTTTCGAGTTAAGGGACAGTGTGGGAGACATTACTGTACTTCTTTCAATTAACGAGCAAAGATATGCAGATGTTATGTTAATTTTGAAAAAATAAGGGTTGGAAGCTGTGGTACTCCAGTAAGTGATAGGATTTGTTTGCAAATTTTATTGGCCAGAAATATAGAGTCGAAGTAAAACTTGACGAGGAATAATTTCAAATATCTAATTTTCTCAAGGTCTCAAAGTCTCAAAATCTCAAAATCTCAAAATCTTTAAGTCATAAAATCCCAAAATCTCAAGGTTTCAATGTCTCAAGGTCTCAATCATTCGTGTCTCAATGTTTCAATATCTCAGAGTCTCGATGTATCTGTTGGATGTTTATGTATAATAAATTCACAGCAGAGTAAACTCCAGTATTGATATAAAAGCAAACAAGAAAAGTGATACAAATTGCAAGTTGTGAGTGAAGCTTTCAACTCGACAACTGCTCGGTCATCTCTGATTTACCCCCGGAAAGAGTGCCGCGTTTCTGTCAGCCCCATCGCGCTTTCCGTCGGCCCGACACAAGGATACGCGAGACATTTTCAAGGATCGGCTGCCATACTAGAGCACCTTAAACCATAAAAAGCTTACCTAGGACTATTCTAAGGCTTAACGTTAACAACTAAAAGTTCAGCGACCTATTCGTCAGCACATCCGTGCTTTATGACAGGCTACAGAACAGTTAAGTTAGAGTTAGAGAACAGTTAAAGAAAATATAAATTAAAGTTTTATGTCGAAAAGCAGTGATATTTTAAAATTTCAATCTCTCAATATTTTAGAGTCTCACAGGTGTCATTTGAATGTTTTATTTTAGAGTTTCAAAGTCTCAGTATTTCGTTCTTTCAGAGTCTCAAAGTTTCAGGGTCCCAAGGTTTCATTGCCTCAATGTCTCAAAGTCTCAAAGTTCCAAGCAAATTTTTATAAACCACATTGCTTTCAACTTTAGGAACGTGAGGCGTGAACGAGAATATTTTCAATAAATAATAAATAATAAAAAGAAATAATTATTATCTTAACGTGAAAGTCTGAATGCGTTGTGACTCGTACGAGTGCTCACTATGATTTTTCCAAGCTTTCTCTGCTCGTTAGATGTGTAAAAGACTCTTGCAAAGGCCCACAATCGTCCAGGCCTGGCCCTTCGAGGACCTCGAATCTTTCGGAGAAAATTATAACCCCTTGATTAATACAATAAGTAAAAGTAACAGGAAGAAAATCATGCTGATTGTTAAACGAAAGGCTAACACTTAACTACTATTACTAAAGTGATATTCTATTCTAAGCCTAAATATGAACAAATATTTACATCTTACTAATATCGTGTATTTATCATATACAATATCATATACTGTATTTTAATATATTTGAATAGTACAATATTTATCCATATTTGGGAGCGTACTGACAACCGGTGAATATCAAGTTTATTACTTACCTGCTCAGTCATTGAGAAGATTAACTTCTCGCTGCATCCACACTGGGCTTTCTTTTATTTTGGCATTACGTGATATTCGATGATCTACCATCAGCAATCTACTATCGGAAGATTTTGTGAAGCCCCCGGACTCTTAGATACCTTGCCACAACAACAAGTCAAATTTAACCTTAGCGAGACGTCAAGGTTTGCTGAAGATATGTGGACCTGGAGTCTCGATAAAATGTTCGATGTCGTGGTTGACCGTTTCCCTATGAAACGATTGGCTTAAAGTCTATTCGGCTAACAGTTCGCGGTATACTGAATTACTAGCTACAATTTTAATAGATGCACTATCATTCGATCACAGACAAGTCGTTAATCGTTCATTTCGCGGGAGATCTTCCACATCGACCACCATAAATCGCCACGAAAACTTGCGACGATAAATTAAGATGTGTCATAAGTCGCGACGAGCTGCATGGCTCATAGAACCACCGCGAAAAGACATAGTCCGCACCAGTGTTCACTAAATATCTTGGAAACTTAGTAAATGCGACCTGTTTAAGACCGTCGGTATTAACGGTCCTACTTTTCCGGCTTCTGTCCCCACACGTTGGTATCGCGGTTTTTGCAGAATAAATCGCGCGGAATATTTGATCGCCGCCGATTTTTACTGGATAACCGCTCTCGGGACCTGGGACGTCTCTATGGCCTACGACGCTCGTTGGTCAGCCTCTAATTGCAGTCTCACCTGCTCCAAACCTTCCCGCAGCAACTCCACTTCCTCATTATTCGAAGTTGCCATTTTACTTCGAGGTATATGAAAATTGAAATTTCGTGAGCACGATCTCAGCTAATTTTCACCCTTATAGTAAGCCGCTGCAAGGACTAGCTGCGTATTTATAGGAAGGTGACTTTTCCAAACTTCCACAAGGAAATCTTCATTAACTACCAAATCTTGGTGGTACCAAAACTGAGTTAGCACCGATCGTCAATTTCTTTGGTCTCCAATTATTTCTCAATAGAGATCGTGTCTCGACCTTCTGATTAACTTCCTAAGAGCCTCGTACTTGTTAGTAGCCGTTGGATTGCGAATAAAGTCCTCAATTTCTAATTGCGAGACATAACCGAATTTAATGTAGTCTTGATACGTCCAATTGCACTTTTGATTTCCGGAATAGCGCAACTTTTTTGACCGAAAAGTATTCTTAGAGTAGCAACATTTCTTATTTAGAATAACGGGAGAAAGTAGTCAGATAGCGAACAACGAGAATATATTTTCAACAGAGTAAGAAAAAGAAATAATTTTAACGCGAACTAGAATGACTCGTACGAGTGCTCACTATGATCCGGTACTTTTTCCAAGCTTTGGTCGTTAGGGAAAACTAGATGCACAAAAAAGATCGACCCTTGCGAGCAACGCAAAGGCCCACGCAAAATGTTCGACCAGGCCTGGCCCCTGAAGGACCTCGAACCATTTCGGAGTAAAATTATCGTAACCGCTACACAACCCTCATTGAAAGCTAATTTAATATCTGCATAACTTCTCGGCTAAACTTCAGCAAGTGAAATCTAAATAGATTTGAAATAAAATGGAGTTTAACGCAAAATCACGTCTTTACGTCTTTAACGTGGAATCAATTCTTCTTCGAGTTCGACTGTTCGTAATATACGAATAGGTAGGACGAGAATATAACTTGTTGTTGACTCTAGATTCGAAAAGTTGGACATCACGCCAAAGAGCGCGCAAAAGATAAGGCCGGTCCTCGAAAAGTGGATGAAAGAGGCTGAAGCGAGGTGAGTTTATTTAATAAAAATTAATCATTCCGAATTTTATTTCTGTCTTACAAAAATACTTTCGTTAATCAGCAAATCTCCTGAGACGGTGAAATTATTTAATCCAATCTATTTAATCGAAAATAAAATTCCGACGTGAGAATTCTATTTCGAAAGTCAGACTGCTTGAATATTCCACTAGCGCGTACATCCTTCTTTTCAATTATTGTCCGAGAACATTTTCAAACATTTAATACATACCAATATATCACACCTTGTGTCGGTACCGTTGACAAATTTTAAAGTGCAAATGCAAACGGCCAAAGCGGGCCATGTGCGTTTTGTCAGGGCGTTTTCCTGGTCGCAAGGGAAAGTTTTTCGAGGCCAAACAGGCCAACGAATAGTCGTCAAGGGCCATGGTGACGTTGGTGTCCTCACGGCCAACGTTTTGCCGTTGGCGTTCTTGTTCTGGCTGCGAACGTGAAAACACGACGCAGTTTCCTTCCTCCTTCGACGAAAAGCATGCAGAAAAACACTTAGTAAAATCGATCCGATGGTACGATGGTGTTCAAGATGGTCGCTTTCATCGTGGCAGTTTCGTGCAACACGATTATCCCGTAATCGTCCAACAGGATCTGAAGCGGTGTCCGAGAGCGTGTGAACGCGTGCGTGCTAATTGGTAATTCGCTAATTGAATCCACCTGATTAATTGCAGATCCGCGTCTAATAAATACGCGGAATGTTAATTAGAATGGAGGAAACCGTTAGCGGGACCGTGCTCATGCCGGCTACAGGTATCAGCGGTTTTATTCGTGTCGCGAAAGAAGTCGCCTATCGGTTTCCTCCTCGAGGGTATCGGCTTCGCCTTGTTCACCAACGCACGCACACCAGTCCGCTTCAATTTTCTGCGAACTCTGTATCAGGATCTGTAATTAGCGAAATTCGAAGTTTAATTCATCCTTTGGCCGTGGTCGCCGCAAAGACCGACCTCATAACGAACTGCTGTCCTTCGATTTATTGTCTTGCTAAAGGAATTCTTGCGGACTTTCTTCTACCCTGCTCTCTTATACTCTGCCGTTTCGCAGTCGAGTGCATATTCTGATAGGGACTTGGTACATATTCCACGTTTAACTAAATCTTACGTTTTTTCTAATACCTTATATTAATACATTCTTGGAAAGCTTGTAAAGAGTTGATGTGTGAAAATATTTTATACAAATCTGAACATATGTAATCTATTAATCAGTCTTATAAGGCAATACTCTCGTCTAAAAACTCTGAAATAAAGTCTCAGAGCCTCAGAGTTTAAACGTTTCAAAATTCCATGTTCAAAATCGAATGCTGAAATTCCTGACTCCTAAATCGGCCTTAAAAATTTCCATAATTCCATAGTTTGTGTCCTGCAGTCCAAAATGTTCCAAAGTTTCATATCATCCTACAAAACAAGATTTCCCAAATCCCAAGTTCACAACCTTTCTGAAAATCCCAAAAGTTCAAACGTGTCAAAATTCCTAACTCCGAAGTGTCTAACTTTTAACTCCTCACAGTCCCAAAAATTTGCAAGTGAAAACAGTGAAAAATTCCTAAAACAATATCAATTTTCCAGAGTCCAATCGCAGCCAAAAGTTGCATTTACAGAATCAGCAACAAATTCCAACGGAGACAAACAGCTTACCTATCAAACATAATAAAAATGAAAATGTAACATAAATTCTAAATTCGCACTTATCAGCACTGAATTATCGTTCTTAGTAATATTGTGATACGAAGCGAGGTTTAATTGGTAGAGATCTAAGGGCGTCGATCGCGTGAATTTTACGATCGACCGACGCCTAACACGGTTTATAGTTTCGATTTCACCGTGACACCGTTTTATTGTCGGTAAAAGCGCGGAAAGTATGTATATACACGGTCTGGCCGGTGTATGCAAAAAAACACACACACGCACGCGTTATATAGGGTAACGTTGCGCGCCCCTGTATACATATATGCATACATACATACGTATCACGACCGTGAACCGGATGATTCGATGACAGGAGCACGCGGTCATTTCTCTTTCCGCGGCCGAGCCGGTAACAATGACCCATTCCGCATTCCCGTGGCGTAGCGTCAACAGATTTTCCCAAAACGAACAAAATGATTTGTTGACTGTGCATTAACACCTTCGCGTGGCGAATCATCCCCGCACGGTATTATCGTCACCGAAACGTTTTCCGTTTTAATGACTTCGCTCTTCATAACGCGTTTAACTCTTTAAGGCTATCATCGCTGAAATTTTACTCCGCGTTCATCATCGTCGCAATATTATACATTTTGTTATCGATCTTCATTATTTTTAATTCGATCTTAGATTCTTTTACAGTCTCATCAAAATATACAGGTGTATTTACACTGAAGTTGCAATATATTACTTTATAAACAGTTAATCAATAATACAGTCAATTTAATAATACAGTCTAATTATTTCTTGTTCGTTTCATTTTAAATGGAAGATTTGAAATGAAAGATCATTTTAGGTTATGTCAGACATCTGCAATGTTACATGCCGTAAACTCTGTAAATCTTTGCAGTTAATTTCATACTTTCTCTTATGGAGTGCAATGTTATCTTTGCATCATTAGATGTTTTGCACTTATGTGTCAAAGTGTACACCTAGATACTTGCAAAGGATTAATTTATGTACACACAGTGGACTTAAACGTATCATGCATGAGTATTTCCAGTCTAGTTAACATTGACTTTTGAAATAAATAAAGATTGAAATTCCGTTTGCTAGGAATAGTTGATCAATTACGGTCTGCTACCTAGTTGCTCCAACATGCTCATTAATAACTTGTGTTCGATTGAGAAAATATGCTTGTGCTACACTTATTTGCTTGGGTCGTTCAAATTTTTGCATTGACAGTATATAAAATATTTTGCAACGTTATGAATTTGAACCTTTTTCTCATACAGTCCCTCAGTTAGACATTTTCTGGTACAGTCTCTTAAGAGATCTAAATTGTTGAACTTAAGAGGCGGAAGTGAATACTCGACAGCGCAACCCTTTGAAAAGAATGTTCGATGGAAGGATGGATCATGTCCTGAGTCGGCGATTATTCAAGCGATTCGATGACGGTTTAACCACGGTCATTTCTCTTTTCGCGAACATACAGCTAGTAACAATGACCCATCCCGCATTCTCGCGGCGTAGAGGTAAGCGCGACCGTGCCGGCCGCGTCCGGGGAAAAATGAAAGCGGCTAGTTTATGCGGTGCACGTGCACGATTTATCTGCCGAGTAATTAAACTGTGGACTAATTAAAATCAGGTTTCTGATGTACCCCTTCTGCCTGCTGTTCGTATCCCGCTCCCCGGCTCCACGATCCCTCTTGTCGTTTCTTCTCCTCTTTCTCCAATGGCGTTTCGCTGCCTTTTACCTCTTACCTCTTAGCACCCACACGATCCCGTAAACGCTAATACCTACTCGATCCCGTGGTACACCCACGCCGAGACTTCCTTCTTTCTCCCCGGTTCTCGTCGTTTGTCTCCATTTTCTCTTTCTGCCTACTTTTTTATCCGTCGGCTACCTCGATACCATTCGCCGGCTCTGAGGTTCTTACTGTTACCGTGCGCGCGTACACTCGAGATTTAGATGGGCTCGTTTAATTCTACCTGCACCGAGTTTCTAATACATATTCGATTAGCTGATTTATTCCTGTGACACGAAACGACGATGGAACAGGTAGATCGGCGATTAACTTTTCTTTTGCTCAGATACCATTTTTTTTTGAAACGGGAACCTTCGTTATCGATAATCCTCGCGTGTCAAATAAGAAGATATTACGAGATTGGAATATGCTAGGATATGGAGGTGTTCAGCTACGATCTCGTAGATGAAGTTCCAACTATTTCGACATCTTAAGGATTCAAGGACTAATGTCCTTAACTTTATTGTCTAAAGCTTTTGGTTCTGGTGATCTAAGTATTTGGGAGGTATCTAGGTATCCAAGGATTTAGGTAACTGGGAATTTGGATACTGTGAGATGTATCTTAAGATCTAGGTATTTTGGAATCTTCAAATCTGTGTTTCTTCGGATTTAGGTATCTTTGCATCTACCTATGGATCTGTGACCTGATTGGAGACTTAAACATCTAGTAATTTATCTAGGAACATAGGTATCTCAGAAACTAGATATCACGAAATCTATCTTAAGATCTGGGTATCTTGAAATCTTCGGATCTGAGTTTCTTCGAATTTAGGTATCTTTGCATCTATCTATGGATCTGTGACCTGATTGGAGACTTAAATATCTGGCAATCTATCTAGGAACCTAGGTATCTCAGAATCTAGATATCACGAAATCTCTCTGAGAAACTAAGTAACTGAGAATCTAGGTGTCTAGGTATCTGTGAATCTAAATATCTCAGAACCTCGGTGAGATTAATCTGATTATCTCGATATCTAAGAATCTACAAACTTGTGAAGACATAAATCTAAGACTACAATATCCTAGAAATAATCTTGAAATTCAGTGTAGAGTAATGAGCGAATCTCGCACTGATTCTTACAAATATTCAATATTACAAATTACATGATTTATAAGTCTGTTATAAGGTAAATTCACGCGAGATGACATGTATACGAGTAATATTAAAGTGGTAATTTCTTTTCTTTCTTTCGCGTGACAGTGTTTAATTTTTTCTCTTTCGCACTTTTTGATTCCCTTACCCTCGTGGATTAAACCTCACGAACACGTTTAGCGGTGTCCTTGTTCGTCGTTAGTCGTGCTTGTTCCCTTCTACCTTTTCGTTTGGCTTCTCACCTGTGCTGGAATACGTGCTCGAGCTAACCCTCGACGCCAGTTTGATATTCTGTCCTCCTCTCTCGTTCCTCTTCGTTGCGGCTCTCCTCGCGCGCGTTATAATAACGTTTCCTTTGTAAGCGTACGTTTATCATTTCGCAGTCATTTCGTTTATTATCGTAAGCACGCGTTTATTAAAATTATTGAAAGCGCAATCCGCGTTAAATTGACGTCAGTAAATCCGTTACGGTGTTTGCGATCCTTTAAATCATGCGACGTTTCTTTTATTTCGCGCTCGAAATTGTCGGATTCTTTTGCGAACATTTAGTAGAAAAATTATTCGGTATAATCCTCGGATTTATTAACGCTGTAGGATTTATAATTACGTATAAATCTTGTAATTATTTACTGAATATTCTTTGAAGTTTGTAATAAAAATGCATTCTTCAACACTTGGATAACGAAATGACAAGTGTATTTCATGTTATTTTAAGAATTGTATCTTGCCCATTGCAAAGACATGAAACACGAAACTATAATTCAGAAAAGAAATTAAAAATATTGGTATTAATGTAGGCGACCGTTACTCGATAATATTGGAGATATTTTTATCATTCGGGTATCAAGCTTACATTTCCATTGATTAATTAATTAACTGAGTAATATTACTAAGGAATATTCAATTGCATAGCTTATCATAAAATTTGTTGCGTTCTACAGATGCATGTACCAAAGCTTATGATTTGAATTTGTCGATTTTAATTGAATGAAAGAACGTATATTGGGCTGCATTAATATCCATGGGATTTCATTATTTTTTTAATGATGGAATTCGTATTTCGATGTGTCTATTAGCTCGAACCTTCATCAACTCACCGTACTAATAACAGCAAAACAACGAATACATCGAACCAAAAATAAAATTCCTTTGTAGGAAAAATGTAATTTGCCGTATGATTAATTTTAATTATTTGTCGTGTATATCGAACACAATGTCCGCGTAGAAGAGCGAAAAAGCTTTTTTGTCAATACACTAAATTTATTTGCTCCTGATATCAATAATTAAATCATCGATAAACCGTGTTAATATTGAACAACAGACATTGTCATGCTTACAACGCTGAAATTATTCTCTTTTTCAAATGTTCAAATTATACGCTTTTTATTAATGACTTTACGTTTGAAATTCTGCAAGGTTGCTTATATGCACTTTTTCAGTAAAATACTTCTTGTACCCTTTGAGGGTTAACAGACAAATCAGTGTATAAGATCAAACCACGAACAATTGTCACCCGTGACATAGAAACTCATTTTTGTTGAAGAACTTGAAAATTTGGGAAATCAGAAATTTGACAATTTAGAGATCTGGAAATTTAGAGATTTGGCAACTTCAATATTTGCAAATTTAGAGATTTGGCATTTTCGATATTTGGAAATTTGAGAATTTGGAGACTTGAAAATTTACGAACTTGTGAATTTGGAAATTTGGGAATTCGGAAACTTGAGAATACCAAGAATTTGAGAATTTGGAAACTTGAGGATTTGGGGAACCGCAAAATTGGGTATAGGGTATATGGAGATTTAGGAGATTGGAATTTTAAGAATTTGGGGATTTGCAAGGTTAAGAACCCTGCGTCATGAGGTCAGAAATCTGTATCCAATTACGCCAATGCCCTGAGTAACCCGTTCCGTTTCCGTATCGGTTCTTCGTCCGGTTCTCCATTAGCATATTGTTTTCGCAGATTCGACGAAATATCACCGAGCGAGATGCTAATGGCTCGACCTGCACTTTTTTCGGCGTGGCTCGACAGTTGGTCATACGGAGTTAAATTAAAAACATAAATTCCGCGGCGGCGTCCGCGTACTACGCCCCTCGTGCGCGTCGGGACGCCGCCGACCCTTCCACCCTTCTGGCTCGTTTAGCCGCGATTCCCGGCGGAAGTTCTCCTGTTTACGGTTACGGGCTTTTTTCGAAGCGCCGCGACGCTTCGATCGCTAATTTCATTTGTGCCTGGCGACGTCGCGATGCTCTCTCGCGTTCCATTCGGGAAAATTCATCGTCGACGTTGCCCCATAGGGGATGAATGTCCAGTAAACGGTTTTCTTCTTCTTTTTCTCTCCCCTCGTTTTATCGAGTTTTCGTTGTTCCTCGTAGGTGACTCGATGGGTCGACGCGAGTCGATCGAGAGTGTTGCACCAAGTCTCTTTCCTCCTCTGTTTACGATGGCGCTTCCGGTTTCCACGGGACGCGCTTTGACGTGCAGAAAGTTTGCCGAGTTAACACACGACCCACCGACGCTTGCGTGTTTTGTTTTAATATTTGATTAGAGCATGATCGGGGTATTTGCTCGGGAGTCCGACGAAAATTGGATTTTCTTATACCTGGTCAAATGTCGGTGTGGTTTTTGCACGACTTTTTTATCTCGCGCCGTTTTTCTGCTTCGACGTTTAATATTAAATCATCGCACGGGTAATGCATAGCTTTTGGTATGTATTAACTCTTTGAGACACCGTCGATCTTTCCTTAATCTCTTCTTATTTTGTAATTATTTTTATCGTGTAAAACATCGCTACATGTTCGGTTAAAAATGTATACTATCCTCTCAGAGATTATCCGATTAAAAAAAAAGGAGATGTGTGGATTAAAGTAGAGTACCCTGTATGTCTCTCTCGTTTTTTGATTCTTTTATTTATCAACGAGTGATATATGAAGGGTAGGTACAAATGAGAACAGTGGGTCTGATTACAGGTACAAGAACGGGATCAATCAGTTGACGGAGTTTATCGGCGTGGAAACCAGCAAGAAGCGAAAGCGACGAACTTCGTTCTCACCGCACGCTTTGGAACACCTGAACGCCCACTTCGAAAGAAACACACATCCAAATGGTAATTTTGCTCATTTTGCGAATTTCTCGCCTTCAAACTTCGTCCGAATTCTTCGAAGTCAACGATTCGTTCATTTTTCAGGTAATGAGATCACAAAAATAGCCCAGGTTCTTGGATACGAACGAGAGGTGATAAGGATTTGGTTCTGCAACAAGAGGCAGTCCTTGAAGAACACGCTGAGGTCGGTAGCGAAGTCCATGACGTAAGAAGTAACGTAATCGGACAAGATTCTTCGATCAGTGAACAAGAAAAAGCTTTAAGGACTCAAGTTTACGCCACAACTCCACGAGAGACTTAAATCGCGTGTCTTTCATCGATCTCGATAACCAGTTCAATCGATAGATTCCCATCGACAGAATTTACGAAATGTCGCGTTAATAAATAGAATTTCTACGAAGTGAACGAGCGAGAGCAATTTCAAAATTCGCGCGTCCCAGCGGGCGGACGGCGGGAATTTTCGAAACGCTCCCGTGTCGATCGATGTAAAGATCGTTTGTGATCGCAAGCGTATACGAGACCTATCTGTAAATAGCTTTAACCTATGTGACTAATGTGATGTACAGGAGTCGAGCGTTACGATAATCGCAACCGTGTGCCGTCTTTCGCGAAAAATTGGGAAATCGACTTATCGACGATAGTATACGTCGACTCCGTTTATAACCAACGACGATAGCTGCTTACCGACTGACGGTACGATAGATATTACCATCTCACGGTAAAGTAGATTTGACGGGATTTTTAAGAATACAAACATCGCACTGCGATTATTAACGCGTCGACTCGTCGAATTAGGATAAGTAAATTCCGCAAGAAACCGCACAGATAATGCTAGTTCACGAAACGATCATGGAAGCTTCCAGCTGCTGAGGATCGTTTGTGGCAGTGATGGGCAACTGTGAAGGGCACGGTGAATGAACACGCAAATACTGTGCACTAGTAGGCGTTAGGTTATCAAATTTCTACGATCTTTAACATCTATTTTGCCAAACTTCTAAATTCGAACGTTTGGAGTTATCAATTTTCGAACTTGTAAATTATCAAATTTTCGAATTATGCAATCTCTCCAAATTATCATATTTGCATATTTCCAAATTTCCAAGTTATCGAACTCCTAAATTCCTATATCTGAGAACTTGGTGTTTCCGAATATCTGAATATGAAAATTTGAGGTCAAGTTTGAAAATTTCTCGATTTCTAAAATTTCAAACTTGAAGTCTTCGGATTTCACCCTACCTGAAAACCGGTCGCTGTACATACACAACAGACCATCGGAGGGCAGCAGATCTGCCCATCACTGATTCATGGAACAATCCGGAGGAAGCACAATAACGAGGAACCGTACAACAAATATGATCACCTTAATTAAGGCGAGAAAATGGTATTTCTTGTACGCGACCGAACCTGGAACACGGAAAGATCGAGGAATGGACGTTGAAGTCCGTTTCGCACACAGAAAAGAACATAGTTGAAGCAACGAGAGTCAACCACAACAGCAACAGTACCGTTCACAATACCGTTCACAACAGGGATACGAGTTCATTTGCCAATGAAATAGCAACGGAGATATTTTACAGTAACGCCGCTATCGTTTATAACGGATCACCACACAACGTTTTCAGTTTCATTTCTTACCGGAGGAACACAACCAACCGCATCATCGCAGGCTTCGTTCGAGATCAAATGTTTCAACCATATTGTTCTCTGGGTGTGCGCTCGTCTGTATGTTACGCGTGTATGGTCCAGGTAAATTACGATTCCTCTTCGAAATATAATTCCCAGTGAGCCTCCGCTTTTGTTTGAACCGTTACTTCGTCTTTTTATGCAATATATCGAACATCGATGTGATCTTTGTTAGAAACTGTACAGAGTGTCAAAGGTAGTATAGTTCTTCGCGAATATTTCGTTTCTTGTCAATTTTACGACGTACAGAGCTATTACAAGATTTGTAGTTTGAGAAATTCTCTATAAAAAAGATTCTACAAGTTTTCTCATAGGTGTAATTATTTTCACGTATGATGGCTTAAGAGATTACTTTCATACTTGGATGCTGTCCTTTAGTTCACCGGATGTTATCTCAGAAACGGTTGCACCTATGGAAACAGATTGTAGAATCTTTTTTGTAGAGAATTTTCTAAGCTATAAATTTGATAATAACTATTTTTGTCGTAGGAATGATGGGTAACGAGATATTCGCGAGAAACTGTTTCCGTTTACGATATAAAGGTTCACAGAAAAATGTAGGTCGCTGGGAATAATTTCGCAGATAAACCATAGTCTGACTTTCCTGGACTGTGTATCGATGGACTTTTGTTAGAGGAAAGGGGGAGTAGAGGATGGACTGTAGCGAGTTAAATTAACGCAATAACGTGTTCGAAAGTATAATTATCGATCGATCATAAGATGGATTATCCTCCTGATGCCGCCGAGTGAAATTCTATTCGAAACCGAAAGAGGGAAAGGCTACTCCAATAGAGGTGGTTTCAGGTATTTCCGCGGAGTAACATGGAAAAAGTAAAAATATAAAAAAAAAATCACTAGTCCGTAATAGTCTGCCATATACGAGGTATACGTATTAAACGTTTACGCATCTTTCGTTCCTAAATGTTCGATCTTGCTTAGCCCGCTGACGATTGTATCGACAGATTGGATGCGTTCCGTTTCCGCGTTCACGGTTATTTTGCAATCGATCTGATTTCTGAACGATTTCGAAGCATCTGTAGAAATTCGATTTTAAAAGACTTGCACGAGGAGGAGACACGAATCGAAATATATAGGATGTCGGATACAATTTCTGGTTAACAGTAAAATACAATTAACAACGATAATATTTCATTTCGGCTGCAAATTAGCCGCGCGATCGATGTACGATGGCTAATACCACTAGGTGGGTAATTTTGGCACGGAAACGCGACGAAACGGAACGAACAGAGACAGGTTCCAATATCCACGGACGAATCTCCATATTTACGCATCCAGAGGAACGGTTCGTTGGTAAAGAAGAGGGGAGGAAGAAGCAGGAAAGCTGATTAAATAAATAAAAATTATAATACGATAAACAAGAAGCATAAAATATCGACCATCCCACAAGGATATATCTCTCATGTATTCCCGGTTAATCGATAGTGAATAATAGCGTTTCTTTGAATGTGTTCCGCTTCAACAACTCTTTCTTTCGTCTGTCCTAAAAGATGACAGGATTAGTCGTTTATCGGTGGTAAATCGACCGATCATACATACACACACAAGTTCTATCGACATTTTTCCTTCCTTGCGTAATAAACGATACTGTAGGCGACACCCATCCCATTAAATGGTACGACACGATTTCTTAAATATCTCAAGCTCGAGTATAATTAAGAAAAACATTGTATGATTGGAGCAGCGGAAAAGGGACAGACGTCATGTACACTACACGTTCATGCATATACATACATATACACACATGTACTTCGATAACCCAGAACGTTTGTAATTGGCTATACAGGGTGATAGGTAAATTGATACTCTTATTTTTATGGGGTATTTTACTTTTCAGAGAGATTCAAATATTGCTGGTTTCTATGGAAATTGAAATATTTTATGGGGTGAAAAGTGTGGGAGTACAGATCCTTGTTTCAAAATTTTTTTATCTATAAACTTTAGATTACTCTTTCATAAATATTGTTATTGGACTTGAATGTTACGGAGGTCTAAATTAAATAATTTCAAGGTCCAAATTCTCAAGGTTACAAAACGCTAAACTTTTAAATTCTCAAGTTTTCAAATTCTGCAATTTACAATTTTCTATATTAGTAAATTTTATTTTTAGTCTTCCAAAGCTTCAAGTTTCTGAATTAATAAATTTCAAAACTCTTAAGTTTCCAAGCTCTCAAATTTCCATCTCGAGTCCCAAAATTTCTGAAGCCCCAAAGTTCAAACATTTCAAATTTTCAATTCTCTAAATTTCTAAGCTTGAAACTTCTCAAATTCCCAAATTTACAACATTCAAAACTTGCAATTTCCTTCTAAATTTGTTGTCTTGAATATTTTAATAACTTTCACTTTCCATGGTCATATAGCAAGTCTCCTAACATAACCTCTTTTTTCTCCAAGCACATCTGAGGAAATCTACAGCTCTCTCCAGTAAAATACCCCATGAAAATTAGTCTATCTATTTTCCCTTCACCCTGAGTATATTATAGCCATCGTACAATTATTATAACCACGAGATCCTTTAAGAGTGGAGGGTAGCTAGGAGCGTGTGTACATATTAAGGCGACACCTAGGGACCGTAGCATTGTAAGAGTCTAACACTTTTTAAATCGTGCATAGCTATGAAATAGCTGGGACGAGGATTCGAAAGCAAATTCGACGCAATTTCGATCGAGAAAGAAAAAGAACAGCGTGACGAAGAAGCGGATATAAATTTGTAAGGGTAAAGTACATTAAGACATTCTACTGTTTAAGGTACGATTAAAATTTGATCTGTTCCTAAAGTAAATACGAAAACGGAGACACGAAGGAAAACAGATGTCTTTTTTCGACGAGGATACGGTGTATTATAAAACGATGGAATGGTATACGATTGAGGGGGTTGAATGGAGGGGTAACGTTGTTTCAAAATTCAAAATTTTGATCATTCGAGGGTGGGTTCGTACGTTAGATTTTTTAGACGAGTTCCGAAGGAGAGATACAAAAAAAGGATGATAATGTTTGTACAGAGATATTCCGGTTATTAAATTTTGTTATAAAACGGGGGAGAAAGGCGTGATGGATGTTGAGAGTAAATAAAATTGAAGTGAGAGAGAGAGAGTGAAAGAGAAAATTGATGAATCATGTGTATTTTCTTCGTGACAAATTGATATTCAATAGATGATTGCGGAAATATAAAAAAAAAACATGAGTATTAAAGAAACACACACAAAAAAAAGTACATACGTGAATTGTATTCGTGAGTGTCATATTTCTAAGGAAGATAGATCCACGGGCGAATGTTTTATAGCAGTTTCCGGTCGAATTACGGGTCCAGACAGATCAAAAAAATATCGCGAACAATACATGCCGGGCTAACGAAACAGAAAACCGTATTTTAGGAAAAAATGAAATGAAATAGTAATAAAAGAAATCGAACGGACAGCGGAAAAAAAAGATAATAATTAATCGTAAGACGAAGTTCGTGGCACGAATAAAATGGAAACTGCTTCTGAAACATTGCTCAGCGAAACCAAAGTTCCTACTACGTTTTATAAAAGTATATAACTGAACTGCAAAAAAACTTTAATTGTACATAACGAGGGTTTTAAGCTAGCAAACACGTTCACAATACAATCAGCAATCGGACAGATCCGAGCGAACGGGATGCAGGATCAATTGATTCCACGTCACGATTCGTTGGGGAACCACCTGTAGAGAGAAATGGCATGCACGAAATAACTAGGAAATAGTTTGTCGTTTACCATCGTCTTCAGACGGGGGACAATTGATCGTGACAGCGCAACAAACGACGAGCATACGAATAACCGAGTACGAGAAAAAGAAAAGGGACACGTAGGACACACACATACATAAACACACGCATTCACACACGCACGTGTGAATACACGGTATACATACACACGCGTGTATGTACATGCATATGTGAATACGTGACAGACATTTGTACAAGTGAAACGCAATTAAGCACGTTAAGTATACAATTAAATTAAGCAGCCGTAGCTTTAGCACCTAGACACATACACGTACACGTACACGATCACACACACACACACGTACACGCGTACGATGTACCATTAATCTACATACGTATTTAAAAGGGAAAAGAACGAGGAGAACCTTAGCGGTTAAGCGAAAAATACCTGTGTAAAATCTAGTAGGTGTCCACAAGAATAAAATAAAAGCATATATTATGGTACAAATCACACAACAATGATCGTACCTTCAGGTCCTGACTGCGCCTCCAACCGAACTCTTTCTGTACATATAATTTTGATATGCATCTGATTTATGTATGATTTCTATGTACATATATCGCAATTATATATATAATTTACATGATCCTACAACGATCGTTTTTCGAATAACTTCGCCAAATTATTGCTGGATTAAAAGGATGCTCTTTGGGTACTATTATCCTATGGAGTCTTCAGATTTATTTTTTTTATCCTTTGGATATAAATATTTTTTGTTATATTTTACTTAGATATCAAGGTACGATGGACTCTCGTTATGTTACCATTTTCTGCATTTTAAATTTTCAACTTATAAATTATTTTATTTCTGAATTTCCAAATTGTCGAATGCCTATTTTTTCAAATATATAATTCTTCAAATTCTGAATTAAAAATTTCTAAGTTTTCATTGACTTAACAAGTTAAGTTTCTTCCATTGACTTGAGGATAGTGTTACTAAAAACTATAAAATATAAATTCTGAAGTGAAAGAATAAAGCATGGCAATGTAACGAGGGACCTATCATAATTACCTATTCCTGTAACATTTAACAAAAATTTGGACGAAATAAATACGTTAGATTGATCGAAAGGACATTTATCGAACGTAGTCACATAAGAGATCTTTTAATTATTTTATAATACTCAAAGTTTCGATGCATCATTTTCAACATTCGCGACCAATTCAAAGTCTGGTTTCGATTCGGGAACTACTCTGCTGGACTTCCATGACCATTCGATGGTACCATAACCGACCATTCCTAGACACAGGATTCCCATAAGACAGTAAATCTTCGATTCGGTGCACAAGTAAGGACTGTACGCGTATGTGATCACGGAACCGGTGGATTCCCACAGACGGAAGTTCGAAAAGGCTGCTTCCTCCTTTCCTGGGAATAATAATCCGGAAAGAGCTGGAAAATGAATACAAACTAAATGTATTTATCAAAACTGGAAAAATATTCAAAACGAAAGTCTTTCGCTTTCTTTAAAGCAACGAATTCATTTTTACAATAACTATTTATTTAAAACGGTTAATTTTGAAAATACGTTTAGCGCCATCTGACAGGAGCCATAGCTAACGACACAGAAAATGGCGGTCGAATGACGGAATCATGGGAAGTGACATCTAGGAAGAGACTCCTCTACTTAAAACAACCCGTCCGCACAATTTTCGTTTATTTTAAAAATCAATTTTCGGCTCCGCTAGTTTCATCGTCTACCAGAAGATGGTAGGAAAGGTACCAGATATTTCCAAAATGGTACATTCATAATATACTAACAAACTCTGTGAAGATAAAGTTTGTAACCATATTTGTACCATATGTAATCGTTTATATACAATGTTACATATGATAATTATAATTGAATGTATAGCGGTGGTAATATCAACTCAAATATTTTAGAGATAAGAGTTTATCGATTAAACCATGTATTATACAATTAAAAAATATATGTATTATATATTAAAAATACTTGTTTGTACGTACCGTTAACCTGCACCAGCCACATGGCATCGCAAAGCCCCCATAATCCAGACATCAAGAAGAACGTGTAGTATTGTTCAGGCGTTGGTTTCCAACGCAACAGAAACACCAAAATTCCTATATGAAGCACGAAGGCGAATATCATTAGAGGCCTTCTTCCAGTTAATTTCATTATGGAACCTGCTGCCAAGGCAGCTATGGCGTTCGTCACTCCGAAACAAATCATCACATATCCGATGTTGCTGATACCCCACGCGCAGGACACGAAGGACTTAAAGAATTCGTTCGGAATTATTAAAAAAGTCGATAACAAATTAAAATTAAAATTAAAAGCAACTCACTGCGTTATAATCAGCGAAGAGGAATGCTTGTTCAGCCCCGATGAATATAATTATTGGTAGTATCAGTAGCTGATTTTTCTCTTTGAGCAACTGCAGCGTCACTGCTAGCAGCTTGCATCCTGATAGCCCTGTCGCGGAACCCGATCTGCCTTTGTTGTACCTAGAGTATTCATGAAGGTGTCATTATAGATAATTTTAAAATGCGAAGTAGATATTTTTAGAATTCGAAGTCGATATTTTTTAGTATTTGTAGTTGAATATTGTTGCTTGAACGGAGGTAGGTCTAACAGAGAAATTGCATGCTGTCTTCTGAATTTTCATAATTCAGTTCGCTTTTGTTTGTAATTTTGTGTAAGCTGAGAATTTGAAGCAGATACTGACGTGGACCAATATGTACTGACTTAGACCAATTTTAACCGAATTGGATCGATTTAAACCGATTTGGAATAACTTAAATCGATCTGTGTCGATTCGAAACGACATATGCCGACTTGGGCCGATTAGTATCAATTTGCGGCGAATCGTTGTAAGTCGGTCCTAATCGGCTCAAATCGGCCTAGATCGGTTCTAATCGTCTCAAACCATTACAGACCGGTCCAAGTCACCTCGAATTGTCCTCAACTCGTTGACATCGAGCTAAGTCGATTAAAATCGTTTCAAAACATTCTAAATCGTTCTAAATCATCCAAAATTGAGTATTTAACCCCTTGCCGAGCCATTTATTTAACAGATGCGTCAGTCAAGACTAACTATAAAGGGCTAAAACATTAAAACGAACAAAGGAAATTAAAATATTGCGAGTATTTTATATTTAGGAATCCTTGATAATGCAACTTATAGTTGGACCTAAATTTCGATTTGAATAATATTCAATGTTTGAGTATGGTTTGTCACATTTAAGCTGTAAGTGCGTCACGAGTGAGACTCGTCAAAGTACAGGAAGGGGTTAAATAACTCAAGGTACTACAACCTCTAAAAAATCTCATTCAACCCAACGGAAGTTTCATTCGTTTTCATCTTGCATTTTACAGCTCCCTAAAGTACCGACATGCAATTAAAGTCATCCGTTCGAATATTGCATTTCCATAAAATATCTAGCGTTTCGAAGATTTCTTCCCGATCGATAGCCAAAACCGATCGTAATTCCTTCAACAGAAACAATAGCGTATGCTCCGGTTACGATTTAATATGCTATCAATTCTGGATGCGTAAATCGGGATACTCGAAATATTTATGACATACAATTCTGCTAGGTTTGCGGATCGATCAACTTCTTGCGTTCACATATGACGGCTTAGCCGATCGGCAATCACGCGGTTATGTATTTTTTGAAGTGATAGCCTCTTTCCTATTTACCCGCTTGTTTCTATGCAACTAAAAATTCCTATCGTTTTCCAATAGTTTTCTGATCAGGATGATTCTCATAACGCGAATTCTGGGATATCGAATATGTCGACGCAATTTTTTCACGAACGTTTCATGGCTCCATTCGCAATATCTCTAGTGGAGATTGCGTTTTTCGAGTTTTCACAGACGTATCGTAGTATGTGGAACTTGATTGTACTCTACGGATTTGTTACTGGATATCGGATCCCTTTCTAGAGGCTTTGAAAAATGGAAACTATTTCACAACCTGCAACTTCTATTGACAAGTATAGTTGGAAACTGAATTAACTATCGAGAATTTTGAAAAGTTATACAAATCAATTTTATAACTTTCCTAAGAGTTTCATAAGATCTAATTTAATAACTTTTGAACCAACACCTTCGAAACTACTGGACTTTGAAACCTTTAAACTTCCAATCCAAAGGTTTCCGAACACAATCGATTCTACACCAACATTAAATTAAACTCATTCGCAGTTTACCTCAATTTATGTAACCTCAATTACCTCAACAAAATTGCGAATATTAATAACAATATTCTAACAGGTTTATTAATTTCCGACATGCAATTTATTGTAAACTGCACCCCACGATTCCAACATGAATCAGGTGACTTTATGACATCGTCGCATGGAATACTAATTAACCGTCCACTGATTGCCAGAAGTTTCATAAAATTTCACCACACAAAAGAAATAGAAATATTTACCGTGAAAGAGAATCGACGCCAAAAGCAACTATCAAGGACGCGACGATCATGCAGCACAAATAAATTCCGCAAATTAGGTGAATCCTTTCTTCCGGGGGTCTTTCTAACGTTGGACTATCGGTGGAGTTCGAAGCTGCGCCACAAAAATTAGCGCCGCATGTTTCTGCCACAATACTGCTGTTCAATGTCGTGTTCACCGGTACAGAATCCATTCCATAAGAGAGAACTGTAAAAACATTTAGATAAGCAAATTATTCAGTCATCATGGACTAATTTTTTCTCGATATCGTTACTTTTATTTTCGCAACCGTTTTATGGCGAGTTTAAACGTAACCAGCTTTAAGTACGCGAAAATGAAGACGAATCGCGGTGAATTTTCGTGTAGTTACAGCATCATTTATGAGGAAGTACATTATGTAGAAGTTAGTGGAACAAAAAACGCGCCGGTTTTTAATTGTAGCAAGCAGGGACTGTTTATCTTGCACCAATTTGTTAAATTCATTAAACCTTCAGGTACGTAATTCAATCTGGAAAAAGCAGAGAATAAAAAGCTGGTTCTGTTGAATTCAAATAAAAATCCTGCATTTGTTAGGGAACTTCTTTAATTAAGCTAAAAGCAGTCGCCCGCTAATTTTTGAAGCGACTGCTGGATATGCATTCCGATTTTAGTTATATATTTCATTTCAAAAAAGTAGGGAATTCTATTTATGATCGCGCGCCATTGTACCTGGAAAAGAGATACGACCGGGCGCGGAACAATTCCATTTTAGAGTAATATTTTAGGGGAACTTTTCCCCGCGGAATTCGGGGTTGTAGACGGTTAAAAATTGTGGGATTCGGTACTTTCAGAATTTGGGGATTTTTGGGAATTTGGGGTATGGAAATTTGGGATTTTGGGGGTTTGGAATTTTGGGATTTGGGGAACTTGAGGATTTGGGGAAATTGAGGATTTGGAAATTTTGGGGATCGGAAATTTGGAGATTTGGGAATTTGAAGATTTGGGGATTTGAAGATTTGAGAGTTTGACGAATTGGGAACTTGAGAATTTGGAGATTTGAGAATTTGAGGGTTTTACGATTTGAGAATTTGAGAATTTGGGGATTTGAGAATTTGGGGATTTGAGGATTTGGGGATTTGAAGATTTGGGGAGTCAAGGATTGGAGGGTTTGATGAATCGGGGACTTGAGAATTTGGAGATTTGAGAATTTGAGGGTTTGACGAATTGGGAACTTGAGAATTTGGGGATTTGAGAATTTGGGTATTTGAAGATTTGGGGAGTCAAGGATTTGAGGGTTTGACAATTTGGGGATTTCACAATTTGAGGACTTGAGAATTTGGAGATTTAAATATTTAAGGTTTAGAGGACGTAGAACTTAAGGATTTGAGGTTTTGATGATTTAAGGATTTCAAGATTTTGATATTTGAAAATTTGTAGATTTGAGTCCTTAGCGATTTGAAGAAACTTGCAGATTGCAGGACTTGAGGATTTGGTGATTTGAGAATTTTGAGACTGCGGTATTTAGGAATTTGAGAACATGAAGATTTAGAAACTTGATAATTTGGCGGTTTGAAGATCTAGAAACATGAGAATTTTCAGACTGCAAGGTATTGAGACTTGAGGCGTTAGGCACCTGACTATTGTTTGACTTAAGGATTATTTGAAGCATTGAAAATTTAAGGATTTCAAACTTTTCAAATTATAAAATTGAATTAAGAAATTCTGCAATTTGATCCGTCGTACGTTCATACAACTATCACTTGAAAAATTTGAATACCTATAAATGTAAAGAATATATCCCAAAAATGAAAAACTATTTCTACATGTGTAACCCAGTATATTTGAACTGTAATGCGGTAAATAACAAAGGTAAATAAAATTAGTCCACTACGTCCAGTTCCCACATTGTCCAATAGAGCAAAGTTCCTCAGAAATCGATGTGTGTCCCTGATCGTCTGGGAACGTCCGATAGAGCAACTATTGAGCAAACAGAAAACTTGAACATCGTAATCCGCTCACGCGATTCTTCTTTCTTCCGTTCAGATCAGAGCCGTCGATTTCTAAGGGGCGAAGAATTACTGGCCCGATTTTCTCCATTGTGCTCGACGATTCTAATGAGACGTCGGAAAGTTTCGAAACTTGATGGAGTCTTCGTTCAAATTTCTCGATCATCGTCGACGCCGATGGTCTTTGCTTTTCCTCTTAGCATAACAATACCACGGCGTCTCGTGATTTCGCGTTGTATCGGGGAGACTCTAAAAGTTTCGGAATCCTTGAATTCCAAGGGGTTTGGTGTCGTGATGGCTCATAAATAAACTGGAACAGCCTGGCATCCCTCACGGGAGTCGACACAGAAGTATACCAATCTGCCGCGTCGTTAAAAACGAACTTCTGAAGCTGGGTTACGACACTCTCCGATTCTTTTATACTCGTCCGATCACTTATTTCTTCGTTTTACGATGGGGATGTGTGGAATAATTCAGATTCTATTGCTTATCAAACGTTCAACACCTTTGCTTTAGAAGAGACTGAAAGTTCTACTGCACCTACTGAACATTTGATCAGATATCTTTTTTAGGAATCGTATGTGTACTTGATTTGGACAATAAAACAGTAGCAAACATAAAGACAAAAAAAACAATAAATTTATCGAACTAGTCAAATCTATATTCTATTTATCTGGATGATGAATGAGGAATTTATAAAATAAGCATGAAATCAATATGAAACTATGGAACCACTATTGTGCAAAGTGAAAGTAGGATCAAGTTGTAGCATCATGTGTCTTCATGTCAGCAAAGATGTACTTTTATGTTAACAATATTATATCTTCATCTTAGCTGAATTATGTCTTTATGTTAGCAAAGTCACATATTCATGTTAGCAAAATTATATCTTCATGTTAGATGAATTATGTCTTTATATTAGCAAAGTCACATTTTCATTTTAACAATATTATATCTTCATGTTAGCTGAATTATGTTTTCATATTAGCAAAGTCACATTTTCATGTTAGCAAAATTCATGTTAGCTGAATTATGTCTTTATGTTAGCAAAGTCACATTTTCATGTTAGCAAAATTATATCTTCATGTTAGCTGAATTATGTCTTCATGTTAGCAAAGTCACATTTTCATGTTAGCAAAATTATATCTTCATGTTAGCAAAATTATATCTTCATGTTAGCTGAATTATGTCTCCATGTTGGCAAAGTTATTTTCATTTTAGCAAAATATCTTTGTCAGCTAAGTTTTCATATTAGCAAAATTATGTCTTCATATGATGTCTTTATCTTTTTATACATAAATTAGATTCAGAACTATCAACACCATTTCACACTCTATTTACACATGCATATTTTATGTATGTACATTTTAAACCTATAATCAGTTCCAACTGTTAATGTACTTATTTAAATAATCAGCAACCTACACCAACGTATATATTAGCATTCATCCAGAGCAGTTTTACTTACCACACTTCGAGTGTTTACATAAACACATGTTTTTATAAATCATGCACTTAAAGATAATCTAGTTAGTACATTTGCATACTTCAAGCAAGTTATTTTACTTTTTTCTGTAAGTACATAGTTTGCATGCATTCAATGCTTCTGGCACCTTTGGCATTTCTAGCTTGTTATAAATGGATAAATACCCGCAGTCTGTCAATTACCATAGGCGGTAAAGATCATTAGTTTCTATTAGTGAGACAAGTTTAATACAAGGAACAAATTGAAAAGTAATACTTGAGTAACTTGCCTTCGCTAGTCTATGAATAATTCATGGCAAAACTGGTTCCTGTTACTATCAATAAATTTATTCCTATTCGACAATTTATGTAACTTATAATATTTATATAAGCAGTTTTAAAAAATTTGTATAATTTATAAATTTATATAATATAGAGATGAATATCTCTAAATTGTTATGTAAATATTTACGAATATAAATTGATGGAAAAATTTAAGAATTTTTTAAGATACATCTGGCTTACAATTTTAGACAAACTGGAATTTAAAAAATATACAGATCAATTCTAGAATTACGTCTTCTGAAATGAAACTGAATTTATGTTCTTAAGAAAAATTCATAAAAATTTATTAATACATCATGGAAGAAAAAAGATGTATCAAATAAACTTTTTCTTAGAGTAAGAACCTCTCATAAATTTTTGAATTGTTATTCTAACATCAATAAGTAAAAGTGTCATAAGCTAAACCTCCTAACCTAACCTAACCTAAACCTCCACATGCATGTCCTATGTGTCTCTAATTCCGCAAATTTCTCGTTTCCCTCTTTAACCTTCCTTAAAGCGAAAAGTTTTACCGAAGTAGAAGCCCGTCGACGGTTTTAATAGGAATTATGAAATAACCGTGGCATATTGCATCCGCGGTTTGCAGGTTGCGCTGTCATTGAAGGCGCGAAAGCAAAGTACGAGCAGCGAGCTGGCTAATTAATTAATTTTTCCCGCGAAACACGGTCACGAGGATTTTTCACTCTCTGACGGTTAAAAATTGCACGTTGCCTACCGCCTAGCGTTCACTTTATCACTTTTATACCGTCGGTTGTTTCATCGTTCCATTTTGACGATAAAGTTCGCCTGCCCCCTCTATTCCAAATTCTCGATGTAATATGCTCGACATTGTTTCCATTACACCAAACTGCATCGCGATTAAAGCTTTTATTTTCTTGGTCATTGAAGGGCGCCATCGTACGGCTAGCTTAGGGATGAAAGCGGAGAAGAGAAAAAGGAACCTCGAAGAGAAACGTAGAAAAGCCATGAAGACTTTTACTACTTTCACGTCAAAGGATTTCAGTGGAAAACGGTTGTGAAGGCAGATTAAATTGAGTTCGTTAAAGTCGCTGACGATTTCCCTACAAATGAAATGTAATTTCGTGGCAGAAAAAAGTGTTCGATTGTATCGTCGATCATTCGAGTTCGAGCATAAATAACTCAATCACCGGTATTTATTTTCAAAGAAACTTCGCAATTTTCGTGCCTTTGTGCAATTATATTCAATTACAGAGAAGTACTTGTTTATTCCAATTTACGAAAGTTCTTAATTGTTTTAGCTCAATTCAGCATGCAGCGAAGGCACTTGATTTATTGAGAAAATTAAAAACACTTGATATTTCAGTTTGCACGGTTTGCTGAAAGTGTAAAAAAAAACTTGGAATTCACAAAAGTTCCTTTAATTAAAGCTGCACGAAGCCTTTTGATTCCCCGAAGTCAAACAATATTTCATACACCCAAATAAATTTGAGTAGATGAAAATTTTCAATCACCATTTCGACTGCTAGAAGAACAACGCGTAATTTGAAAGAACTTCTCGAAAAGATGAGTCAAGTATCGAATTCCGGACGAAGTATGAAGCGTCGATCGATCAAGCACTCCGCGTAGAAAGAGAAAAATTGGAAGCATTGCTAGAATGTGTGGCGGGCAAAAAGTGAGACGATTATACGTACCTGCCGAAGATATAAGGTTGCCCCAGACCTGCGCCATCTGGTAGAACATGAAGAACAGGCCGAAAAACCTGGTGACGAGCACATCTGCGGCGACATCTGACAAAGTAGCGTAAGCTTCCGCTGCAACGGTTAAATAAGTGCACTTGGCGCACCAGAGTGGACCTGCACCGATGCCGACCATCAGTCCAGCTGGGATCATCGTATAGAATTTTGGGTAAAATTGAGCAGCCATGAACGGCACGTAACTCAAGATAGACAGAGACATCGTCCATTTACAGCCAAGCCAGCTGCAACCAAAGCCAGTAAGATAAGATCATTTTATGCTTGCACATTTCTACTTGAACTTTGACCTACATTCGCGAGCTTTCTCTGCGATCTTCCGTTTTGCCATTCGTTCTTCCACGAAAACATATCGGATGAACGTAATTCATTGAACGACGTTTCATTGAATTTTAATTTCTCGAATGAAGCGCGCACAGAAAGTAGCCTTAATTTAACGAGGAACTTGATGAAACGATCTTACGAATCTTTTTTCGAGAGATGCTTTCAATTTGTTAATTACCAAGGTTAAACAAGACTGTAACGTTTCGGAGATATCACCTTTAGTTTGCTGCATCTTCGCAGACGCAAGAAGCTGGACGCGCTTTAAGGTCTTCAAATTTTTAAAAGCGTTTCGCTGGGAGATTTTCACGTAATTTATCACATTTTTTTACCGTGTCATTTTAAATGGAATACAAAAATTCTTCAAACTTGCATTACATTTTCTTTGTAAATGGATAGTGAGAAAAATGTTAGGTGCAAACATTCTTCGACGTGTTAAGCAAAATCTAATAACTGAAGAATTTACTGAACCAAAAAAGATTGCAATATAATAACGAAAAGTAAGGATTAAGGTTTGATAACAATAGCAATTTTCCAAACTTTTGTCTCGCAAAAATGCTATATTTTCGATTCTCTTCCGCTTTGCTCTAGAAGGAAGTCGACACGGTATATTAAAAAATACAAAAGATAAACGCTAGCCGACTGCTTGACCCTTTTTAGGTAAACAGGTCACGCGCGCTTGAATACGATGCCATGAAAAGGAAGCGGAAAGGCGTTCTTATGATTCGCGGCCCGTTTTAAATACGTTGTAATGTTACGACACGCGATTCACGGTGTCTCATCGCTAACGTGGAATTATGGTCATTGCAGTCGCGAATTTCTAGAATGCCAAGGCAGAAATTCGCCACGAATGGCGTCCTGAGCACATATTTTTTTCCAACGAGACAGTTTTGCCCATTCGGTGAAATTTTGATAATTTGGACAGATTGTTATTTTTAAAACTAATGTAATTCTCTGCACGTTGTACAGAATCCATAATTAACAATTAAGAAGAGACACATGCTGCTATATTTCTGTCCATTAATAATAATTTCAACGTCACAAATATATTTAATAATTTAGTTTTAAATTTAGAAATATATTTGTTTGTATACTTAACATTTTAACGAAATATTTTATCACAGTTACGAGAATATTTTAAAATAAAAAGCTTTCTTAAATTCTTTTGAATATACTTTCGTCGCGACATTGTAATCGCGTACATTTATACATGAGTGTTCACCTGAGGGTTAAGAAAGGATTATACTCATTATCTCTCGAATGGTCTCCACTAACCCAGGGTTTAAATGTGAAATTCTTCTTCATTTTCTAAGCTTTGTATTAAATTCTTAAACAGTATATATATGGAAAATTTCCATTTAAAATCTCTACGGGTCTAATAAAGACATCGTTGACCCGACTACCGCTGTTCGGGAGTTAATTGAAGACCCCGACGCATCAATTAAATTCAAATCAGAAAAAAAAATCTGGGATTGCACTCACCTTATAATTAAAGTCGGCAGGAAAATATTGCTGAAAATTAGACTGCCATAAATCGAGGCCAAGGTGAACGTTCCCAACGAGTCGTCCGCGTTGATCGAACTCTGCAGATTCGTGGCACCCATGAACGCCGTAAAATTCACCATAAACGCTGTCCCGATCACCAAAACGTTCCTCGTGATTCGCCATCGCTCCGAAGGCTTGAAATTATTATCCGGTGGCACTTTAACGAACTGTTTCAACGTGTCCGATTTCTCCGGCGCCATGCTTTCGTTATTAATTAAAAACGGTTTAATAAAAAAATCCGGGCACGGAAATCACGTAACGTACGTTCACGCAACCGATAAAAAAAGTAATGTTTAGAGAAGAGACGCGACGTGCAGAGCGGAACACGGAGGGTCTAGCGATGCATGATGAGATTTATTGGCAGCGTGATTGAAATATTGCCGAGATACGACCAATGTTTCGCTTATCGATGGTTCCCGTCGAGTCTTCGAGGAGGGACGATTTAACGATCCTCGTGCAACGTTTGCAAAATCGCGTGCAAATGTCGACATGGGCGCACAAACGTCCGTACCATAATTGCCAGCTTATACCTGACCTTTCATTCAGTATTCTGCAACAGACACATTTACGTTACCATAAAATTAAACATTGCGTTATGAAAATTATGCGTAAAACAATCGAATACGATTTAAATACATTTAAATATGAATTAGTCTAAACTTAAGTTCTATTTTCGATCCTCAATTACCCACAGCAATTAAAAGCATGATTTATCGATAACCACCGACGGCGTAATTCGAAACATGATTGAAGAACGCAGCAGAACCGCGTAAATAATTCATTACATCCGTATTCGATTTCATGAAACAGTCAACAAGCAAGCAGTACAAGCCAACCCGTAATTAGTGGTTTAGCTGTGAAATTGCAGTCGAAGACTGTCGGATACCCAGTGTCCGATGTTCCGCTTGTATTTGACGTTCAACGATTCGTACGTTTGTGGATTGTCAGTAGCCCTTTGTCAAGGCAAACTTTAACGAGCTATAATTCTCTTAACGGCCATTACCTGCCAGTAATGTCGCACCTGTATGGTGGTTTGACCCGCATAAGATAATCGATCTGTGAACGTTCGGTTGGTACAATGAACGTGATATAGACAATCGCTGGGAGTCAAAGGGCCTTAGAGTTCGAAGGCAAATTGCGTAGACACTGTTTATTACCCACAATAATAATAAAGTTAATATAAGTTTCTTCTTTAAGTTTAATTATTAGACAAGTTTTCCAAAAGGCATATTAAAGCCTTAATTTTTATTTGACACTGTTTATTAACCACAATAATAATAAAGTTAACATAAATTCCTCTTCAAGTTTAATTATTTGACAAGTTTTTCAAAAGGCATACTAAACCCTTAATTTTTGTTCGACACTGTTTATTACCTACAATAATAATAAAATTAATATATGTTTCTTCTTTAAGTAATAATTATTTGACATGTTTTCCAAAAGGCATACTAAACCCTTAATTTTTGTTCGACACTGTTTATTACCCACAATAATAATAAAGTTAATATAAGTTTCTTTTTCAAGTTTAATTATTTGACAAGTTTTCCAAAAAGCATATTAAAGACTTGATTTTTATTCGACACAATTTATTACCGACAATAATAATAAAGTTAATATAAATGTTTCTTCCTCAAACTAACTATTTGACAAGTTTTTCAAAAGGCATATTACAGCCTTAATTTTTGTTCGAATACATTTTAAAGCAGCATATAATTAAATCAATATTTCATTGCACTACTAAAATCGCAATTTTCTATGCAGACAATAAAATCAATGTAATTAAATCAATATATCTTTGTATTACTAAAGCCGGAATTTTGTATGCAAAGGTACAACACGAGAGACGTGGCTACGAAGTAACTATATTATAAATGTTCGAGCATTCACCAAAGTCCATCTAACTTGATAACAAACCACTTTCACGATTTTACCGAATTCTGTCACGCGTGGAAAACCATGACCACGTAAAATCGAATTAATAAATCCTGTATACGTGCGGACAAGCTGAACGTTCGCGTTGAAGCTCCATAGAAAACCTTCCCCTCATATTTCACCTGGAACAGACTTAAAAATTGCAGTCGGGAAAACGACCCGGAGGAGAGAAAGACGTAGGAACATAAAAACAGGAGCCGTCGGAAAAGTCGAAGAAAGTGAGAACTGCAGGAACGAAAAGTTGCAACTGTTATTGACCGGGTCTCAGCGAATTTGTTCGAAGATTTATTACCGAGTGGAAAAATCAGACCGCCGATGATGGAGTTTGATAAAGTACGTGCAAGGCAATGAGATCGTAGATAAATCTCAATGTAAATTTATTGACACGAAAAGTTTGCCGGAGTGTTTTCCGGTAGATTTCAGTGAGACGTTTCGCGGGAACACGTTGTTCGTTATTCCGTTTGGTGATTGATATGAAGGATCGAGAGACGAATGCTAAAAGCACATTCCGCCGGCGGACATTGAAAAATGAACGATAGACGGTCGAAGAGAAATGACGGAACCCCAAAAGAAACGAGAAACGTGTAAAACAACTGTTAGCCCTGAGGAACTTCCGTTAACTTGGTCAAGAATAATGTATGTCTTTCGCTTCGGGCATTTTGTACGTAATTCTAAACATATATCTCTATCGATTTTATCGGGTTAACCAGGTTTTTCCCATCGATGAAATTGAATCGTTTATCATTAATTGCAACGATGACGAATGGTCGTTTGACTGTATAATACGTGAATATATGCTTTTGGGTTATGATATGTGATAGTTTGACACGTGAGGATACCACGCATGGTAATACAGCACTTGGTAACTGAATGGGTGGATATTCAGCAGGTGGTTATTGAACGCGGTGGTATCTAACGCGTGGTTATCTGATGCGTGGTTATTTGACGCGTGGTTATGTGACGCGTGGTTAACTGACGCGTGGTTATCTAACGCGTGGTTAACTGACGCGTGGTTATCTGACGCGTGGGTTATCTGAGGCGTGGTTACTTCACGCGTTATTATCTGACGCGTGGTTAATTCACGCGTGGATATCGGACGCTTGGTTATCCCACGCGTGGTTATCTCACGCGTGGTTATCTGACGCGTGGTTATCCCACGCGTGGTTATCCCACGCGTGGTTATCCCACGCGTGGTTATCTGACACATGGTTATCTCACGCGTGGTTATCGCACGCGTTAGATACCATCACGTTAAATCTCACGCATGGTTATCCCACGCGTGGTTATTCCTCGCGTGGTTATCTCACCTGTGGTTATCTGACGCGCCATAATCCAACTCCCAGTTATACAGCGCGTTACGATTCAACGCGTGGTGTTTCAACGCATGACAGTTCTACGTATGGTAATTCAACGCGTGAAGATACAATGTGTTGTAACGCAACGCATGGTTATCCAACGCGCAGCTCGTAGTAAACTAACGCGTAGCTATACAACGCGTGGTTATCCAACGCGCGGCTATCCAGCGCGCAGCTATGCAACGCTCAGTTATCCAGCGCGCAGCTATGCAACGCTCACTTATGCAACGCACAGCTATCCAGCGCGCAGCTATGCAACGTTCAGTTACTCCACGCGTAATAAATTAATGCACCCATGCAACGCGTAATTATACACCGTGTGACTAATTATCAGGCATCTATCTAACAGGTGGTTATCCAACTTTGAACTACACAACGTATACTATATATCATACACGATGTACACGTGTACCAACAAGGCGCGAAACTAGTGAAAAAACGCTTTTGATGTAAAACGATTTCAAAATTGATTTCTAAATCGATCACAGTCACTGTCTGTCAGTTATCCGATAATATTTTGTACCGGGGAAGCGATACCAGTGTTTTCAGTCGGATATTGAATCATAGCAATCGGCATCACGTCAATGGCATTACAGTCACGAAATACAAATACAACGACAGAGTTATTGTTTAACGCGAAATCTCTGGGATACACGCGTAGAGAAACGTATGTTTGTTTCAGTATTGCAACATCAAAGCCAATGAATATGTATGCCTGTACCGATACCGCAACATTCTGACAAGCGACACGATTTACGCGTTTCCAACAGGCGATTTCAAGGTGAAAAGTCGCAGAAACGGTTTGATTTTGTTCAAAAATTTATTTGCGATAGATTTCATTCACCAGAGATTTAATTCATTTCTGGGAGTCATTAGAATTTGTGGATCCGGAATACGAATTAATCGATAGATGTGATGTCTCATTCAAAGGATACGAGTGCAGCAACCTAATTAATTTTTAATTAGACAAATTCATTTACCCTAATTATATTTATTTACTCGACTAATGTGATTCATCTAACGGTGCTACTTGAACTGCTCATAATTTGTTGCATGCAAAAAATTGACACGATTCGAAAGAAGGCATATGATACAAAATTTGTGCTATTGCGATACGAAAGCCATCTGGAGTATTTTAATTATAATGCGTACAATACCTGTTTCAAACATTCCTTCGTGTTACCAGCAATTTACGAGTAATTTATAGGCAACACATTAGATGAATCATACTATACTTCAATATGCATATTCTTCATACTTCATCCAATTCAAATTGACTCATCAGTGTATATCGCGAAGTAATTAAATAAGTTCATGATCAAATAAGGTAGAAGATGAAAAGTTAAAGGTTCCGAAATTCCTATACACTGCCCCATTTAATTAAAGCTGTATTATTATTGAGCACTCGACTTCCAGTTGGATGTACTTCAGTTAATGGACGAATATCGTGTAAAATAGGGCGTCGTTCGAAGGTAATTGCTCGTTCACGCAGAGAATAGAACGTTCCGTTTCTTCTAGACTTCGTTCGATTTAATGCAATGCAAGAACAACAAGAATTTCCCTAATGAGCGGTAACCAACGTGGCGCTTTTTCCGCGCCGATCACAGGGGACCGGGTTTGTCTCTGTCGATGGGAAATCACGGAACGATGTTTCCTCGTTTAAAAAGGAGTCGACTCGATGGGCGGTCAATTAAGATAACGGAAAACGTCCGAGTTGCAGCTGCGTTGTAATTGTCGTAGAAAGAAATTAAGTAACGAGACAGACCTTGGGACACGAACGTTCTCCCGCGAAAAAGGTAACGTACGAATGTCGTTAGATAATATCGAATCCGCCTGCGAACACGCATACATAAAGGTATCGATAGCTATCGAGACGTACGACCGTTTCAATACGCACGAATCGCTCGTCCTTGGTGATTAGTATCTCCGTTCCTTTCACGAAGTCTGTTCGAACTGGATAGATTTCCAATTCTATCGACGAGGAAGGAAAATTGCCTAACTAGCGTTTGATCACGCAATTAACGCGATCACTGTCAGCGTAGGATTTCGCGTGAATGATCGCGGTCACACGTGTTCCGCGAATACCGAGATATCGAGACCGCCTGGGGTAATCATGCAACTCTTATGGTTTTTCATGTGGAATGTTGCGAAATTTATTGTTATTTCATTACTTGGTTATTTTACTATTTTAATATTTTACTAATTTAATATTTTACTACTTTATTATTTTAGTATTTTAGTATTTTAGTATTTTAGTATTTTAGTATTTTAGTATTTTAGTATTTTAGTATTTTAGTATTTTAGTATTTTAGTATTTTAGTATTTTAGTATTTTAGTATTTTAGTATTTTAGTATTTTAGTATTTTAGTATTTTAGTATTTTAGTATTTTAGTATTTTAGTATTTTAGTATTTTAGTATTTTAGTATTTTAGTATTTTAGTATTTTAGTATTTTAGTATTTTAGTATTTTAGTATTTTAGTATTTTAGTATTTTAGTATTTTATTTTAATATTTTACTAATTTAATATTTTACTACTTTACTATTTTATTATTTTAGTATTTTAGTATTTTAATATTTTACTACTTTACTATTTTATTATTTTAATATTTTACTAATTTAATATTTTACTACTTTACTATTTTAATATTTTTGTATTTTAATATTTTACTATTTTACTATTTTACTATTTTACTATTTTAATATTTTAGTATTTTAATATTTTACTACTATACTATTTTAATATTTTACTAATTTAATATTTTATTACTTTACTATTTTAATATTTTAATATTTTGCTATTTTACTATTTTACTATTTTACTATTTTAATATTTTAGTATTTTAATATTTTACTACTATACTATTTTAATATTTTACTAATTTAATATTTTATTACTTTACTATTTTAATATTTTAATATTTTGATATTTTACTATTTTACTATTTTACTACTTCAATACTTCACTACTTCAATACTTCACTACTTTACTACTTCACTACTTTACTACTTCACTACTTTACTATTTTACTGCTTTGCTACTTTACTACTTTACTACCTTATTTTTCCACAATTTCTCTCTGTTATTAGTCTCCTGCTTCATCATTTCACTTTCATATTTTACTGCTACTCCACTGTCCTAGTCTACTATTTCACTCTGTTATACTCTTACTTTATTATTTTATCTCTCACTATTACTTTTTATCAGAAAAAATGAAATAACACGCAAAATTTATAACTCAAATTTTTCATAGCTTCTATTGAAAGTTTTTTTAGATCACTGATAGAATATTATACTCAATATTCAATGAACACATTATACTATAAATTAAACATGAAACCCAATAATATACCCAAACATCATTTACAGTTACAAATGTAACACTTGTAAAGCAGTAATTCTTGTAAACTGTGACAATTAGAAAACCAAGAAGATGAATAATCGTTTCAAGGAAACCCACACAATAATTCAAGTAAAAATCTAATTTAACATGTGGCGAGGGGTTCACAGAATCGTAAGAAATTAACATAACCCGATCCTTTGGAAACGGAGATGCCATATCGACGTTTATTGGAAACTTCATTCACTATTCGATTGCGACTGTATTTCAGCAGGATCTTCCCGGAAATGGAAACGTTTCCTGAGTTGCTCCCTTTGATAGGGTTTGCTTGCAACATTTTCCTGAATTTGCATAGTTATTATGCTCCGACATCGGAACTTCATGCAGAAGCACAGAATATAACAGATTATAGGAGAACTTATTTAAAAGTTTTACCACTACCTCAATATATTCTGTTTTACATTAGCTTACCATCTATATTCTTTCAAAATTACGGATTTAACAAGCAGTTGTTTCATCTTAAAAAATCACTTAGATTTTACAAACAATTATTTGCTAAAAAAATTCTAAGATTCTAGAAAAATCGCTTAAATTTCAAATGACTGACTAAAAAAAATCACTTAAGTGTATCAAGCAGTTCTGATCTAAAAAAAAATCGTTTATATTTAACAGTCGTTTGATCTAAAAAAATTCATTTGAATTTACCACTTGATTTAAAAATATGCACTTAGCAAACTGTTGCAATGCAATAATTTAACGAAATCACATTGAAATGTCCATACACCGTCCATTAAACATTATCACATACTTTCTCGCGTCCTTACATTGTCACAAAGATGTACACTCCGCTCGCGAAGATAATTGCAGACTATTCAACGAGGTTTGAACAAGAGTCAATTATATAAAGCAAACTCGACAGCAATTGCTCCGAAAATTAACTGCCGAGAGCTAGAAAGATTATATTAAATTCTGTGATTCAGGAACGAATCTTTTCTCTCGGTGAATCTCAGCGACGCGAATGAAACGATTCGAAAGTTATGAAGAAACAACGAAGCGTTACGACAATGTTGAAGTTGTCAATATTAATTCGCACGAATGAAATTCCTTTAAAATTGAAATATTTTTCGAGCGAACAATTCATCGGTCTTGTCAAGCCAGCAATTTTTCAATAGTTTTCCCTTTGAGGACTGAGCGACAGTGTTATTGCGGGATTATGGAAACTGCAATGATGCTGCCTGAAATATTGCTACGCCTTTACTGGGATTGTCTCTGCCACGCGGAGATTCACAGATTTTTGGGAAATAAACTTGTGGTGATTTTTAGATTTATGAAAGGAAATTTGCTTAAATTTGTTAAATTGACTTTAAATCAAAGTTAATTTGATTTATAAATTAAATTGTAATTGTTAAAGTAAATTTGAATTTATAGTTTGGAAAAATTCAGAGCGGGATAGTTGCAGAAATTTTTGAAATAAATCTTCAAATTCGAATATTCTCAAATATACAAATTCCTTGATTATATTCATGAATCTACAAATCTGTAAATTCTAGTATTTTTAAATTTTCCGTATTTTCAAAATCTTATACTTCCAAATTTCTCAAATATTCAGTTCCTGTAATTACAAGCTTCTAAATCTCCAAGTTTCTAAATTTCCCAAATCCCGAAATTTTTAACTCTGTAATATTCCTACATCTCTAAACACCGGAACTTCCCAAATCAAACTTTTTAATTTTTCAAACTTCCCAAATTCTAAAATTTCTAAATTCCCAAATCCGAACGCGTGGTTATCCAACGCGCAGCTATACAACGCGTGGTTATCCAACGCGTGGATATCTAACGCATGGTTATCCAACGCGTGGATATTCAACGCATGGTTATCCAACGCGTGGATATTCAACGCGTGGTTATCCAATGCGTGGATATCCAACGCGTGGTTATCCAACGCGTGGTTATCCAACGCGCAGCTATACAACGCATGGTTACTCAACGCGCAGCTATACAACGCGTGGTTATCCAACGCGTGGATATCCAACGCATGGTTATCCAACGTGTGGTTATCCAACGCGTGGATATTCAACGCGTGGTTATCCAATGCGTGGATATCCAACGTGTGGTTATCCAACGCGTGGATATTCAACGCGTGGTTATCCAATGCGTGGATATCCAACGCATGATTATCCAACGCGTGGTTATCCAACGCGTGGTTATTCAACGCGCAGCTATACAACGCGTGGTTATCCAACGCGTGGATATCCAGCGCGCAGCTATGTAATTAGTAGCAATATTTGTAATATTCTTACTCCCCAAATACCGAAACTTCCCAATTCAAACTTCTCAATTTCTCAATCTCCTCAAATTCTAAAATTTCCAAATCCCAAAATTCTCAAACTCCACCTCTCCCCATATTACCGTCACTGCACTCCCACACCCAAAATTCCGATCATATCTTCTAATTTATTTTCAATACACCAATCGAATTAATGAAACCCCCTGCGAAATTAATATTCATAATCCCTCGAATTACCGTAACACAAATGAATCTGTAGATTATTCAGAATCTCCATAATAGAAGAATTTCAACTTGCGGTATGCGAAGTATGGACGCGGTATTCGCATCGTTGAAAAAACTCATGATTCTCTCTGAGTCTCACCTCCGTATTTCATTCCGAACGATCGAGAGCACCGTGATTCAATTTCTCCCGCCGGAATCGCAGGATCGTTCGCGCGTACGTTAACGAACGAAATCGCACTGACCGAAGAAGAAAGACCGCGGTCAAAACATCCTGTTCCGCCCCACCAGTGTCATTACTGTCGCTTGAGGATACACGAGTAGGGATTTCGATGCTTATCGAGGCGAGAACGGCTGTCTGTATTTCAGGTGCACCTTGATCTTGGATTTTGCTCGTGGTTTTCCGGTTTCTTGCTGGAATCGGGAAGATATTGTGCAATTTTGAAAGGATATGTGGGTAGTTGCCTTGAACTTACGCTTTGAAGCGCGACTGATTACCTTGGTTACGAATTTGAGGAATGATTCATTTCGCGAAATATGGTGCATGTACTGATGCTTTCAAAAATGTAGCAAATGGTAATAACTTTGATGCTTTCAAAAATATAGCAAATGATAGCAAGTTTGATGGTGTTCAGAAATATAGCAAATGATAGCAAGTTTGATGGTGTTCAAAATGTGATGACAAATGCAATTTTGATGCTTCCAAAAATTTTAATAATAAATTTATCTCTGATGTATGCAGAAATATGATTATACATGCATTTTGGTGGAGAAGGTTTGGAATACAGTCACCTACATCACCATATGTTACGAACTAAGATCTCACATCTCATTGTTAGAATAATATCTTAGATACTACAATTGTATACATATATAACCCTGTTCTTGGTCCGTAAGAGGCTAACCTAGGGTCTTAATTCAACTATAGAAAACCTACAGCTGTAGATGGTCAGAACAGAAAAGTAGGAACCTAGACTCATAATTATTTTTGAAAGTAGGACCTATTAGCTTGAGCGATCACTGTATCAATTGGTTATCCAACGCGTGGATATTCAACGCTTGGTTATCCAACGCGTGGTTATCCAACGCGTGGATATTCAACCCTTGGTTATCCAACGCGTGGTTATCCAAACGCGTGGATATTCAACGCGTGGTTATCCAATGCATGGTGATCCAACGCGTGGATATTCAACGCATGGTTATACAACGCATGGTTATCCAACGTGTGGTTATCCAAACGCGTGGTTATCCAACGCGCAGCTATACAACGCGTGGTTATCCAAGGCGCAGCTATGCAACGCATGGTTATCCAACGCGTGGTTATCCAACGCGCAGCTATTCAACGCTTGGTTATCCAACGCGTGGTTATCCAACGCGTGGATATCCAACGCATGGTTAGTTTACATGACTGAAATCAAATGAATTCGATAAAATATAAAATTAAAGTCAGAACTGTCATACAACTTCATCCTAAAATACTGAAACCTAACCTCACTTTCACTTGAAATAAGAACAAAAATTTCAATGAACCTTCACTTTGAAGTATAAGTTCTAAGTTTCTGCAAATTAATTAGGAGACAGATAGGCAATTAGGAAATTAAAACAGATAGTATAAGAAATCTGATAGCAAACGTAATTTGATTTAAACGACTATTTGATGGTTCAACCTTGATCTTTCATTCCGATGGTCGTATTCTGGACTTTGATAGAAGTGGAAAAGATACTATGTGATCTGGTAGCACCTGAATCTTCGACATTGAAGGGAATTCATTTTTGATCGTTATTAGAACGATCGCAAGGACCGGTGTAAAGGATCTGATAGCGAATGCAATTCTAAGGGAGGAATTCTACTGCTGTAATCTTTGAACAGCTGTCTGCGATCGAGCTACTCTTTAATCCTGGAATTCGTCTTCTTTTTCTTGTTCGAGGGAATCGATGGATATTGTGCTAATCGAAAAGAGCCGAGATCGCTTTAAGAAAGATTTATTATGCTAATGGCGGACTATTTGAGTTTTAGACTGATCATGGATCTGGTACTTTTATTTTTCTGTTGAAGGATATTGTGATTTTGAGGTTTCGAGGATACGAAATTCCAATAACTCAAATAATGATCTAATGGTTCTAACTCTATTAACTAATAAAATAGTTTTAATATAAAAATCTTTAGATATTAGAACTTTTGGAATTTTTAAGCATTTTGGATAATTTTGATAAGTTTAAAACCTTAATGCACTGAAAAGCAGTCAATAAAAAATAAATAATTTGGAAGTAATGAATTAAATTAACTTGGAATCCTTCACAAACTCTCACAAATTCTCATGTCGACCAATTTTATTTTCTATCGACTTCCGATTTCAAATTGTTGCATCGCAATATACCCGAATCAGATTTAATATCAAACGAACAAAGATTCCCATACAAACACGAAGATTACAATTATAGCAAATCGATTGCCAGTTCAAATACACGCAAATAGCGGACATCAACGCAAACTCGTGCGGCTATTAATTGATTATGTCTTACTTTACAAACAAGGAACCAATTTCGACATATTCTCCACTTATTTATAATAATAACTTAATTTATTGACACAGATTATTTAACTTAGGAAAAATTAGTTCACCACAATCTGAAATTTCCGTTAAAAGATGCTCGTTTTCCCAAATTAAATATTTCCCATGCGATAAAATCTGAACGAGATCGATTCGTGTAATTGAGCGAAACGGAACAACTTTTTACTCCTACGTTTCTGCGCATGCATCGTGTAGCAACGTTAAGTACGATATAACTATTAATTTCAACGTTGACAGACGAAGTAATTAAATGATTCCAGTCCATCTCTCTTGGTTTGCGTCCATAAACGCAGAAACTTACAGCTTTTATACAAATGGAGTTATGACGCAATCTCAGATATCGATCGATCGTTTCTCATACTATTAATTATGAAAGATTCACGAGCGATTATTGCAATTATCACTGGAAACCTTGCGAACATAGAAAAACAACTTCTGTCAGCACACATGTTTTCTGAAACGAAACATAGTTACAAGTATTCATAGCTGCATGTTCTTTTTATGTGATATATTTTTTTAACCTCTTCTGCTGTGACGAGTGTCGCTTGTGACGCACTTACAGCTTGAACGTGATAAACCTTACTGAAATTTTGAATACTATACAACTTGAAATTTAGGTATATGTTGGGGATTTGAGAAGTGGGGGGTTTGAGAAATTGGGGACTTGAGAAGTTCGAAATGTGAGAATTTGGGGACTTGAGAAGTTGGGAATTTGAGAAGTTGGAAATTTGAGAAGTTGGGGACTTGAGAAGTTGGGGGTTTGCGAAATTGGGGAATTGAGAAGTTGGAAATTTGAGAAGTTGGGGACTTGAAAAGTTGGAAATTTGGGAAATTGGGAATTTGAGAAGTTGGGGACTTGAGAAGTTGGGGGTTTGCGAAATTGGGGAATTGAGAAGTTGGAAATTTGAGAAGTTGGAAACTTGAAAAGTTGAAAATTTGAGAAGTTGGAAACTTGAAAAGTTGAAAATTTGAGAAGTTGGAAACTTGAAAAGTTGAAAATTTGAGAAGTTGGAAACTTGAAAAGTTGAAAATTTGAGAAGTTGGAAACTTGAAAAGTTGAAAATTTGAGAAAGTTGGGAACGTTGGGAACTTGAGAAGTTGGGAACTTGAGAAGTTGGGAACTTGAGAAGTTGGGAACTTGAGAAGTTGGGAACTTGAGAAGTTGGGAACTTGAGAAGTTGGGAACTTGAGAAGTTGGGAACTTGAGAAGTTGGGAACTTGAGAAGTTGGGAACTTGAGAAGTTGGGAACTTGAAAAGTTGGGAACTTGAGAAGTTGGAAATTTGAGAAATTGGGAACTTGAGAAGTTGGGAATTTGAGAAGTTGGAAATTTGAGACGCTGAGAATTTGAGAAGTTGGGAATTTGAGAAGTTGGAAATTTGAGAAGTTGGAAACTTGAAAAGTTGAAAATTTGAGAAGTTGGAAATTTGAGAAGTAGTGAATTTGAAAAGTCATTTTCTGCTTTGACGAGTCACTCGTAACGCACCTACAGCTCGAATGTGACGAACCTTACTCAAATTTAATATACTCTTCAACTTGAAACTCAGGTACAACTATATATTGCATTATCAAGGACCCTCGAATATAAAACACTCACATTTTAATTTTCCTTATTCGTTTTAATGTTATACTCCTGAATAGTCAGTCTTGACTGCCACACCCAATAAATAAAAATAACACGGAACCGGTTAAATATATTTGATATTGTAAACATTTTTTGTATCTACATAATTGTGCATCTTTTATTTTAGACACAATATGATGAACACAATGTGTGAGCATGATTGTACATTGATTTTGTTGTTATAAATAATTATTAATTCGTTATTGTGATTTCGTCAATTACTGATGTATTTTGCCAATTATTAAATCCTACCATTTATTTTTATAGTTCTATCCTTTAATTTTTCGCTTGCCTCTTACAATATATTTAAAATTTTTTTGTTATTTAGACAATGTTGCAATGAGGAATAAAACAAGTAAATCGCACGGTTAATTAATTAAAGATTACTCAACATCGATCGACAAAACCGTGAGCAAGGAAACCGTATCGAGTGTCGGAACTTTAATCGTGTTCATTAATCTTTCGAATTAATTACGCAAGCTTCTTTCATTGTATTTGCAAAAGGAAAAATGTTCTCTTCTCGCGAATACTTTTAAACGATTTGGTCTTGATTTATCTTTGTCCTTCGGGGGAAGAGGTCGCTTTTACACGGTACGGTTCTTTTCTGGAAGAGTAATTTGTAATTGATGGAACAAGAGAAATTCTAATTAATTGCTTTTAAAGGGACGTGAATTATTCCGGATTTTGGAATAGGGACGTGAAGAAATGTACTGTGTTACGTTCGTTTTGTAAACGTGTGGGGGATGTAGAAATATGGGGAGTTTCAAGGTTTAGGGATTTTGCAAATTAGGAAGTTTGGGAAGTTTGGAAATTGAAGAATTTAGAGATTAAGAAATATAGGGGATTTCAAGGTTTAGGGACTGGAAAATTTGGAAATTTGGGATTTGGTGTATTAAGGGATTTGGGGATATAGAAATATAGGGGATTTCAAGGTTAAGGGACTAGAAAATTTGGAAATTTGAGATTTGCTGAATTAAGAAATTTGGGGATATAGGAAATTGGAATTTGAAAATTTGGGAATTTAGGAATTTA